GGTGGAATCATGGTATGGGGTGCCATGAGCTTCCAGGGACCTGGTATTCTGAAGGTCGTGCATGGAAACTTGAATTCCAAAGGTTACATTGACATTTTGAGCAATTGTGCCATACCATCACCTCATCTGCTAGAGGAGTGCTGGTACCAAGATGATGGTGTTCCGTGCCACCGGGCAAAGGTAGTGAAAGAATGGCACTCCCAGAAGAGCATTAGGTGCTTGGAGAACTGGCCACCACATTCTCCAGACCTCAACCCTATTGAAAAAAGTGTGGCATGACATCAAAATGAAGCTCGGGAACAAGCATCATGGTAATCTGAGAGAACTGTCAATGATTGTGATTCCTGGTATGAGTTGACAGTTAATAGATGTACAACATTAGTTAAGAGTATACCTAGAATAATTCAAGCCGTTTTGGCAGCTTGAGGCGGACACACTTAGCACTTACTGTGTGATCTTTTCTGTACCGCTGTTTGTTGGTTTTTGTGCTATTAGGTAAATGAGACAAAATTTGGCATTTTAGACTTTTAATCTAAGTTGTGCATTGTTTTTTTGTGTTCATATGTAACATCAATGAATTATTATGCATCATTATACATTCAGAATGAATTAAATTGGGCATTTTGCCAAGAAAACTTGTTTTTATTGACTTGTCTCCAGACTTTTGATGGGCACTGTATATATAAACTTGCAGAAAGTTACCAAATTCCTCTTATTACCAAATTTCTCTTACAAATAAATAAATAAAAAATAAATTAAAATCAACAAAATCATTGAAATTGGCACTCCACTTACTCAACATATTTAATTTAGCTAAAAAATTTGAAAATAATTAAGACCACCATTTGTCAGTTCTTGTGCAAACAGTGATTTTTAGGTTAAGACAAAAAAAGAGAATAAAAATGCCTGATGAAATTTCCGAGACATAAGCATATAAACAATGAGACATCGATTTTTCTGCATGTGTAAATTTTCACTACATGTAGTTTTAGCCCCTGAGCTTGAGTGATTTCGAAGTTCGTGAAGTAAAAGCAAGTAAAATCTTGTGCTCCACATATATGTCGATCAATGATGTAAATTTCACTTAAAAAAATTTAAATAAGGAGCAAAAATAAATGCCAATTACACAACCAACAATGTTTTTATACAATATGTGGTGCAAAGTGGAAAATGTTTGTAGCTCAAATGTGATTAAAACATTTCATAAGTTTGGTTTTAAATATCATCCAAATTATTAGGTAAATTATTGTCAGAAGAATAAACAGGTAATTTTTTGTCAGAAGAATAAACAGGTAAATTAATTTCAGAAAAATAAACAGGTAAATTTTTGTCAGAAGAATAAACATGTAAATTAATTTCAGAAAAATAAACAGGTAAATTATTGTCAGAAGAATAAACAGGTAAATTATTGTCAGAAGAATAAACAGGTAAATTTTTGTCAGAAGAATAAACATGTAAATTACTGTCAGAAGAATAAACAGGTAAAATAATGTCAAAAGAATAAACAGGTAAATTTTTGTCAGAAGAATAAACAGGTCAATCTTTGTCAAAAGAATAAACACAAGTCTTTGTCAGATGGTTAAAAAATATATACAACACATGTAATTTTAAATTAGATCCTGAATATGTATCGCAAAACAAAATAAAACCTTTTTCTCACAACCATTTTTGTCTTCAACATATTGCATCTAAACTATGTTATCACATGAAATAATGATAAAAGAAAATCTACAACTAAAATCAAAGGCAAACAGAGGCATGAGGTAATGTTGTTACATATTAAGATATTTGTTTATTCTTTTTATATCAATTTCATTCTTTAAATTTAATTTTATATTTCAAATTCCTTCAATGTATGACATCTGTCCACAAAAAGTATAAATTCAATACACTTTGTTACTTTCAGCACGGCTGTAATTAAAGCCGTGCTTTCAATTTCCATTTTGTATACTTATTTATCAAGCATTTAGTGAACCAGACTTTTTGCTGCTCTTGGTCACAAGGATGCTTTCATCATCTTTAACCCTTAACCTGCTGAATATCTAAAAATAGTCTTGTCCAGCTTCCATTATTATGAAACTATCCATAATTAATTTCTAGGTAGCAAGATGAAAACAGAGTGTTTAGACTGACCAGGTTCTATACTGTTAGCAAGACTAATCACTTTTGCTTCAACTAGCAGGTTAAGGGTTATATGTAACCATGGAAACAGATGAAATAAGCCATATTTTGACAAGCTTATGGTGAATACATTATCTTAAGTGGTTCAATAATAAATAGCACAGTATTTACTCTATGTATGACAAGGTATTACATGAAAAAAGCACATTATAAGTGTACATATTGTTCATGCATCTCATGTAACAGTACATATATAGTTTATATATATAGCATATATATTCTAGTTTACAAAACAGTTTTCAGGCATGAAGTTTCTATAGGTAGAATGATTTTGTTATTTATTCATTTTGGGCCATTTTAAAATATAATGATGTTGCAAATAATCGAGATTATTTCTTGTGCATGAGCACATTCACATGCAAAGTTTAATTTTCAAAGCAAATTTCAGGCTTAAGTGAATTTGGGATATTCTGAAAGTTCAGTTTATACAAATTTTTTTAAGCCTGATTGGGAAAAAAGTTCTTGCAACTTATATTAATCACTTTCAAGTCTGCTTCCTGGAACCTAACAGTACTGGTGTCATATGAAGAAACATGTTCGTGACCAGAGCAGGGCTTGAACCTATGACCCCTAGGTTGAGAGGAAGACACCTTAACCACTAGGCCACCACTTCGGTTCTCGATCTTGAAGTTCACCTCTGAGCATAAACTCAGTCACAACCTGGTGTCTGCTTGTAAACACCATCATTATCACGTAAGTAACATCAGAGAAGTCAATTCTCCAAATGTAATGTGATTTCAGGTCAGTTATTTGAATTTGTTGGCTAAAGTAAAGACATCAAAGGAGTTGTAATGCTCTTGTCATTTGGACTAGCACCCTCTCCCCTGTAAAGTACCAGGGAATGTGACATTTATCCCAGTGACACCTTTGTTAATATCACATTTTCTTCCCTTATATTTTGACCTCCCTTTTTTGATATATGGAAATGATTAATAATAAGAGATAGGTTGATAAAAAGATGACCGATAAAATCTAGTAAAACGGTAGAAAATGTTTGTTACACATGTACTCTAAAACAGATCCAGACAAATTTTGCCTATCTTATTCTTATACATTTAATTATTCTTGCAAATACAAAACTTGTATCCAATTATATTTGTGAAAATAAACCAACGAAGAAACAAAAACAACACCATAAAAAAAGAAACTTCAAAACCTGTGAACGCCTGTAAAGTCTTGAGTAACATACACAAGATAAATATAGTATCAACAATTTATAATGAATTTATAAATATCACATTAGTAATATAATACACGTTCAACAAATAACTCTCCATTATACATTCTACTGTTATATATATATACAAGTAACAAAGTTCAATAACAAGACAACCACATTTGGTGTCGTATAACATACATTTATAAGCCATCGAATCATCAACAAGTACATGAGAAAAAATTAAACTGAACCGAGGAATACTATGAGAAATAAATTAGAATGCATGTTAGAATTATGTGCCGTGTCACGACAAAACCAACATTATGGGTTTGCGACCAGCATGGATCCAGACCAGCCTGCGCTTCCGCGCAGTCTGATCAGGATCCATGCTGTTCGCTATCAGTTTCTCTACTTGTAAGAGAGTTGGTAAGCGAACATCATGGATCCTGATCAGACTGCGCGGATGCTGGTCGCAAACGCACTATGTTGGTTTTGTCATGACACGGCTCATATGTGCGTGATGTACGTGATGTGATTCACGTGAAATGAAAGCAAAATACACCATGTATATATATTCCAAAAATGTAAAACAAAATATAAAATAACTTCATTTCACTAACAAATCAATGTTTATTTTTATATTCAACAAATATGAAATATGGGGTTACAGAATGAAACATTTATACTCAAGAATTTCTGCACATTCTGCATGTTAAATAAAATATATTTAATTACTAATTCAATACTTAATTACAATATCTGTGTCAATATTTTTTTTATTTCTTAAGTGTAAATCCATTGAAATTCATATTAACTGCAAGTTGGCTGGCGGAAATTGAAACTACCCATGCTACCTGCACAGACCCTGATCAGCCAGCATGGATAGCTGCCTAATCACGGTCTGCATATTTCGCTATTTGGGCAATGGTTTATTTTGAAACTGTTCCTACAAATGTTGAATGGTTTAGTCCAGATTGATTGATGGACAAGTCAATTTAAGATAATTAGTGTGGTAATGGTTAAAAGACAAATATGAAGGTCTTTGGGGACTTCTATATTACATTACCGATATATCATTCATCTTTACAACTTCATTATCATACCTAAATAATCATGTTTATTGTGAAATAGTTAATGTTTTCGGATACCTATTCAGTTGAATAATCATAAATTATTTCATTTCACAACAAATGAGTTTTAAATTACACGTAATTATGACAAGCTATGAATAATTTAAAGACGTAAATGAAGAGCTCCGTTTTGGAACAAAATGATGACAATGCTTTTTTTGTTCTTATTTTGCTTGTGAATTATTACTGAGCATTTTGCATTGTTAGATATTTACACACAAAACTGGAGATATTACATGAAAAACACAATTTGAAATGAAAACCTCACCCCGGCAATTTCTTTAAAAACAAAATCCAATGTAATGAATACGCATTTCTTATTTACATTGGGAATGACATTCAAAACAAAATTCACCCAACTGGACTAAAAGATATAACCTTTAAAAGTCAATTGTGCACATTTGCAAAGAACACATTTTTAGAACTTCAACTTGCTTTGTCATAGAACAAGATTTATACAAGCTTGTGTGTGAGTATCAATATCAAATACTGAGAAAAGGCCATGCGCAAATTTATACTGATTTTCAGAACTGTGATGCTGAGAATTAGTGCAGAAACAAATATAACTGTATACATACTGCATATAACTAATCAGGGGCAATAACTCTTTGTTGAATGGTCTGATCTAGACTTGCCAATTGTATGTGCATCCCCTTAAATAGGTATTGATAGTGAACAGACAGTTGAATTCCTTCTTCACAAATCGTTTGTATCAATTTAACAGAAGACATGTATTATTAATCATATGTGAAATTACTTAAATTCCTCCAGTTAACAAACTTAAAACATTGTATAGACCATTTTTGAACATGAAGTAAGCATGCGAATGAGAAACTTAAAAGAAATCAAATACACATTTTTTACAACTTCTTCACAGAAAAATAACGTAAACATCAGACAACCTTTTCTAAAACTTCTGCTCTTCATTTTCACAACCCTATAATATATATATAATTCACATTTTTAATCAGAAATGCTTTATACCTTTGATAGAAAATGTGAAAATTTTCCAGAAAATATTTTCTTTAATTCAACACAGATAGGTTTCACAACTTAACATGATATACTTAACAACTCTTTCACAAAAACAATCATATTTCGTCATCTGAGTGCAGTAATGGGCTAACTCCTAATGAATTTCATAGTAATTAACCCGTTACTGCACTAAGGTGATAATTATTTTACTGACATAAATTATCTGATAATATGTAAGACTGGCCACAATTATTAAAGCCATTTTTTTTATATATAATACATAAAATAGTGATCACAACACACTCTCCCTGTATGCAACATAATAAGTTAAAATATAACCTAAAAACAGAAAACACAACCATGAAAATTGTCAGGTAATGGCTTGATCAACAAAATGCAAATCATTTGAGCTAAACTGATTTCAAAGCAGAGATAATAACTATCCTAATCTCATATCAATCTGGGACCTATGAAAATACAGTCTTGTGACTTGTAATATATCTCATTTTGTTATAAAATTTTCAATAGATGATATCCGGAGCTCGGAAATTGTGGGTTTTTACCAGCTAATGCGTAGGTACAAACAAACACATTTTACCATTATAGCCTCGCGGTGCACTAGCAGTCACAATGGATTATTCAACCTATTGCGCTTATCTTTAAAGCTGTAACAGCAAAAGTTTGTTTTTACCTACAGATTAGCTTGGTAAAACACAAAATATTCTTAATTCTGGAGTAATAACTTTTTCATTCCGTTTGTGTTTTGTTCTACATTTTCTATTCTTTTTTTTGTTCTAAATTTTTAATTCACCATTTCTTCTCAACTTTATTACATATTGTTTTGTTCTGTATTTTCAATTCTCATTGTTTTGTTCTAAATTCTAAATTCACTTGTGTCTTGTTCACAGCACAAATCAAATTTTTCATAAAACCTGAATAAAGCAGTGCCTTTTACAATTTTTCTCCCCATTAAATCTGACAAAAAAGTTTATAAAATAAATATATGATATAACTTAATATATCTTTGGTTTTTATGAGAAAAAAAAATCACAAAAAAAAACCCAAGAAAATATCTGAATTTTATGAAATTAAATAATTCCAACAAGATAAAATGTTCAACATTTTTTTTTTTCAACCTGGTAGGAAGGTCATAAAGGTTTTATTTTCAATTTTAAAAAAATCATTCTTTATATGAATATAAAAACAACAAGTAAAAGAGTTACCTGAGATGTTAACTACCTTTATATGTTCAATGAGACAATGCTAAGAAAAATTATTTTAAAAAAAATCTTTACAATTCATAACATTTCAAATAAGTCAACTGTATAAGATATATGTACTAGTACAAGATAGATCGTCTCTATGTACATGTATGCAATAAATATTCTTTGTCGAGAACAATAAAATTAAAGCAATTCACTGATTATTAAAACTAAAGCACTTTTAAAACAAAGTATGTTTAGTTATGACACACATTTTCTTTTTTCAAGAAAAAAATGAAAGCATATTTTCTTGAAATAAAAGTTGTATGTTTAGTTTTTTTTCTTATGACCTACTTTTTCGTAACTTTTCCATTCCTTCAAAACTACATGTACTTCAATATATCAAAATCATCGTATTTTTTCACAAAAATAAAAAATATAACTGTCCATAAAACAACTGTCATGCAAACCAGTAAATAACTAAAAACGCAAATCATTTAACAAATAAAAAGTGTATTCAACAAAACTATATGATTTTTTTTTTGTATAATTATATGTATATAATAATTATGATGGACAGATGATGATTGAAAAAAGTTTTTATGTACAAAGTGCCGCAAAACAACGCAACGTTTTTTATCACAGTTTCGAGTACATGGCATATTGACTAGTGTATCTTCGTAGATGAGGTTACAATCGTGACGGACTTCCGCTGCTTGATGCTAATTCGAAGAACAAGACGTAGGCTTCCGATGAAACAGCTTGATTAGCTCCACATGGACTCACACTAGGAAAGTAACGAAGATCACATTAGTACATTCGCGCAATGACGCAATAAAGGATCTGTAACACATATATTATAGAAAATACCTAACATGTCCTGTTATACATAATTTCAGGCAGTAGCAGGCACCAGAGTAGAACCACCAACCTTCCAAAAGCTAGCTTGATAGCTTCTTAACATGAAAGAATCTAAAGTCTGACTCTCTGGCCAGATTCGAACCCACAGCAGTAAGGGGCAAGTGATCTGAAGTGCTCAACCGTAACCACTTCACCATAGAAGGCCTTTCATACTTCTATAAAGCAGTGAACAATACAATGTTCAGACAAAAGCAAATAACAGTTGACCTAGTTATTAATCTATACACAGGTCTTCAACTGTTCCCTACAGAATCTGCCAGCCAATGATTGGTTTCTAATAAATGGAGGACCTCACACAAAGTTTTCTACTCACTGTGTGTCATTGAAGCTGTTCCACTCTCCTGTGTATGGGTGTTTACATTTCGCTGTGTAATGACCACCGTAAGTAGTTCCGGAGTGTTCACTTACTGCATACAGATTATACACAGTCTGTTGACCTGTAAAAAGAATGGTTGGTTTTATGTCGCACATACACAGTTTAAGTCACATGGCGTGTAAAATAAACATTTCATTCAAACCAGCCTGGGTCTATACATGCAGACAAGTAATTATTTTTGATAGTATAAAAAGGATTTTTAACTCTTTCAAGAAAAATAAGAAGTCAAAACTGTCTTATGAGACCATACAGGGGACTTTCTTAAGAAGGTCACATAAGACAGGGAGTCTCTTAATACAGGTTTACAGTAAAACATCCAAACACTATTAAAAAGTTAAATAATACTAATACAGGAGATACAAAGTCGAGATTTCCATTCATTCAATGTATGCTACTTGACGTCACCCCTTTCACCACTCATGCTTCCGAAAGAAATATTGTTGCGCTTAATGAAGCTTTCTAGCCAAGCATTTGATGCTTTAAATTCAGAAATATTTAATTTGGATGCAAAGTCCAATGCTTTTGTTTTTAAAAAAGGACCTGTAACCACAATTTTTCTTTTCACTGCATCCTGAAACCAAGTTAAGGTTAAGTCATTGATTTTCTCATTCCAGTTGCATGTCTCTGAAGTTTAGAATTCAATGGAACATTATTTTCAAAGTCCGAAATTACTTCCAATTTACGTTTACGAAGGTTTTGGATTTGTGTTTTTCCAATACAAAGTTCTTCTGCCACTTTATACGCCGGTATTCCTTTATTCAATTTTTGTAAGACTTCATATTTCTGTTGAAGATCTAAAACAATGTGTTTTCTTTCTTTCCGACATTTTTTTCAACGAAACAGGAAGTAGGAACAGATTTATCTTTCATAACATAGTCGCTAAAAACAGTGCTTAGCCCGTTCCGTACCGTTCAAATCACAGTCGCTAGTCACGTAACACAGTGAGTCGTTTAATACAGTGCAACTTTATAGCCAAAATCGTTGGGCGGACCCAAATAGGGTCACATAAGACAGGAAGTCGCTGAATACAGTGGGTCACTATGGCAGTTTTGACTGTATCTTAAATGGAAATGTCCATCTTTCAATCTCGACCAGGCCATTCATCATTTTTCAGCAAAAAATTCAAAATATCTTATGTAAATCTTTTGGAAATTATACAAGCTCATTAAAATAATTACATCTATATACACATGTACACAATTTATTGCATAAATGTTTTATAGATTTAATGTTTATTTTACGCGCAAAATGTGGTGTCTCTTAACATCCACATCTGTATGCCACTTATTTCCTTAGTTATTTATCATATTATATTCTAAAGAAGCTAAATAAAACTAAACAGGTATTGATAAATTTTGTTAACTCATTAAACCTTTTTTATCACATTTTATCAATCATGAACTTAACTTACCCTTCTCTGCAGCAAATTCTGTCAAGTCAAGATGTTTGATTGGGAAGTTCACTAGAGTAGTAATTTTACGGCTATATCGTTCCTGACTAAACCGCTTTAAATCTGATATATTTTGTCAAGGTAACTAAATCACTTACTAACAATAATGTCCTTTTTGTCACCATCAACCGACTTGTTTTGCATAAAACTATCATGTTTTTTTTTTTTTAGTTAACAAGAAAAAAACTAAACCTGCTAAATTTGTTTTGATGTGTAATAGATTTGCACTCCCTTGTTTGTTTTGTTTTGCTTTATGGCGCACCAACACAGTTTAGGTCATATGGCGCCATTGCTCTGCCTTGAATTGGAACACTCAATTCAAATTTTAAGGGACTTCAACTTTGGATTTCAATTTTATATCAAACTGCAAAAATAGAGCTACCAACAGTATAGAGCCTTGTTAGACGGCATGGAAATGCAGCCTGGCCTGATTGTGTACTGTTGGCAAAAGCTCATCATTTTCATTTCCAGCAAAGTAAGAGTTAAACAGATCTTTATTTAACATAGATTGTGATTTAAGCCTCAAGCTTATTAAAAGTTAAACACTTTCTTGAACTAAACTGTGCACTACCAATGTCATAGTTACAAAATAAAATTTACACAAATAATTATGTAGATATTTGTAGAGTAATTATTTTAATTGTGAAAAATAGTTTCAACACTTTTCACTCAATCAAGCTATGAATAGCACAAAAATACAATTTTTAATCTATTTCTCTGTCTATTTCTTAATTATCTTTTGCAAATCTTTTTAAGTACCCCAGCTGATCTATGTAAGAAATTAATATTTTTATGTTTTTATGCTTTTGAACTTCAGTGGAGTTCTTTTAATACAAAGTTGAAGAACTGTTTTAATATAAAGGATACGGAGCACTAATATTGGAGGGAATTTCTGAATCGAAAATCTCTTTGTACATGATGTTCTCTTTTTACATTTGGCACAAGTCTGAAAGAGAAAATAACAACAATATTTATACTGATAATAATTGGATTTGTTAAGTTTTAACATGTACTTTAACATTAGAATGTATAACAGTATTTTTCTCCCAAACTCCACTGTTGAGATAACACCTTATATCACTTCATGCAGGTTCATTTACCCATCTTGATTCCTCCACAAGCCAGCTGGGTGACTACCTCTGACATAGAATTTCAATAAAATTTCTTTTTACGTTTGTTTTTAATTACAACTTCCCTTTAAAGGTGCTTTTGCTGTTTTTCAATGTTGCTAAGTAATAACATGTTTTAACAATGACATAAGGCAACTTAAATTTTTTTTATAAATGTTCATTTTTCTTATCTTTTTTTTTTTAATACTCAAGATCTAAAATTTCAAAAGGAATGTAGTGAATTAAATCAAAATATTACAACCTATTGTATATTTATCATTTTCTTTTTAAATAAAGTATTATTACAATATAAACCTATTAGATATCAAGATGAAATGAGCCGTGCCATGACAAAACCAACATAATGGGTTTGCGATCAGCATGGATCCAGACCAGCCTGCGCATCCGCGCAGTCTGATCAGGATCCATGCTGTTCGCTTACCAACCCTATTACAAGTAGACAAACTGATAGCGAACAGCATGGATCCTGATCAGACTGCGTGGATGCGCAGACTGGTCTGGATCCATGCTGGTCGCAAACCCATTATGTTGGTTTTGTTGTGACGCGGCTCAAATATAGTTTTACGGAATTTATCTTTACCTTCTTAAATAAGTTTGAACTTAGAGAAAGCCACTAAAATACTATATGATATCTACATATTGTCATCGAGTAAAAAGTAATAACTATTATACTCACAGGGCTTTCATCCCCTTCTAGAATTTCCTCCTTCATAAATAAACTGAGGCAATCTATGAGCTCACATTCTGATCTCATCTAAAATATATAATATGACACCATTTTAATGTTTACAAAACATACATGACATACAGTATATTGTGGTTTCAATCACATGAAATTGCTTGTTTTCAATGTAATATTAACACCACCTAATTCCTTTTTATCACATACCTGTGCCACTTTTGCAACTCTGTAAAAAAAGTAACGCCTGGGTGAGTACAATACTTTTAAAATAATCAAGCTAAATAACAAAATACAACAATAAATATTTATATATTTATATTGACATGATCATGAAAATCAACATGTATACCACTAAAAAGTACGGCAAATCAGTTTTAATAATATGCAGTGAGTGATACAGATATTATTTCACTGATAAAACCCAATATTTCATTGGTTAGCATAAAATACATACGAAATCTTAGGCTCTTGTTATCATAGCCCCTATCATATCATAAAAAGAAGAAAATGCCCACTCTAAGTGTATATACCTTTGGTACTGGCAAGGAAAGATCCCAGAAGGGGTCAAAGGTCACAGACCTGTGCCCACAGCTATTAAACTTCAATTCACTCTTCAGCTGTCCAACAAATATTTCTGTCAAGAAAAGAAAATGTAACTGATTTGTATATAACGGCATACATTTGTACATAAAAATTATAATTTGAATAAATTTTCAGTACATCATTGCATTGAAAGAAACTATAAATTGAATACATTTCAAAATTTGCTCAATATTAGGTAGTATTTTCTATACTTATACTAACTTTATATGAAAATCTATTTATTCAAAGTCTATTACTTCTATCAAACTAAATTTAAATATTGAAAATAAAACAATGTGTTTAATTAATCAGTTAAAGTAGACACTTCTTATAATTTAACTTTTCAAAATTTAAAACATATTTACTTGAGGTCAGACTGGTTGTTGTTTTTTCAGGTTATTTAATAATAATAATATTTTTATATTATATTGAAATATATTGGCTAATCTATAGGCAGGCATCTTTAAAGAGCACTTTATAAATACATACATGTATTTACTTAAGGACAGTGTGCTTGTTTTTTATTCTAGGGGCTATATAATAATACTTAAATTGACTTTTACATCATTTTATCAGTTAAACAACTATGTAAAAGAAAGATTGTACATCTATGCATCACATCTGTTGTTTTCAACACCTAAAAATTTGGAAATAATTTGTTTAACCAATAGATCACAGTTAGTGTTGAGGCTAAATGACTAACTAACCGAAACAAATGATAATGTTACACACAAGTTAATACCCGAGGGCATACAATAATGTGTATTTTACTATATAACTGCAGTAACTTACCCACTATTTTACTGTGGTCATATCGTAAATAATTATTCCAGTACTCTGAGGCCTTCTCTGAATCACTGAAAAAAAAGAGTAAGAAAATATAAAGAAAACATAAAGAAAACATTGTTTTTATATAGTGTATTTGCCTGAATTGACCATAAGTTTAACCCTTAACCTGCTGAATTTCTTAAATGGACTTGTCCAATTTCCAATTTGGAACAGTCCATTATCAACTTAAGGTATATCAAGGAGAGACTTTGAAGTTGGCCAGCCAACAGTATAGAGCCTGGTCAGACTGCCCTGATATGCAGACTGGCTTGGCTCTATACTGGTGGGAAAGACTAACCACTTTCGCCCTCAGCAGGGTATAGGTTTAAGGTAAACTGTCAGTCTAAGTGACCACAGTAACAGTTCATTTAGGACATTCTGACAGTCCAGACATCCATCTAGACATATTTATTAATGATAACTTGTCTGTTATTAGTTGGCAAATAAAAAATACAACTTATCAGATTTAATCATGTAGCAAATAAAATTACAGGTACACAAACAGATTTCACCTGGCCAGTCTTGCTAATTAACACAAAAGTCATATGATATTTTTAACATATTTTTATAATCATACTAAAACATGGGAAGCACTCTAGTTTGTCATCAAAATGAAATAAGAAATAGTTTTAGCTACTTTCTTTCATTCATAGTAAAATATCTTACAAGACAAAAATTAATTGGTGCTCAAAATAAATAAATTTGAAAATTTTTAATTTTTAACAAAATAGTAAATGTATTATAAATTTAATTTAATTTCAATAAAATTCTTCTAAATATACTTTTCAGTTTTGATTCATAATTTCTCTTAGCAGTAATGAGATAGTTTTAATGTTTACTTCTCATACAGAAAACAATAACATCAACAACAACAACAACTATGTACTCCTAACAAATCAATAATTTCCTTATTAACTTATATACTGGTAGTGTTAAACCCCATGCTGAATGATACACTGAGCTCCCAGTATAAGCCCTGCAGTAACATAGAATGTGATGCAGTGAAACATTTCTGTAAAATGGAAAATCCTAGCACACAGTCTACAGTCAGAGCATTGATTTATATCTGTTTGGCTTAATCAAAATGACAGAAGCTAGGTAAAATACTGACGCTCAACATGTTTTTTTGCCAATTGCATGTGCTTTACAATTCCACCACTGCTCTTAATTTCACATATACATCCTAACAAATGAACAGGAGTGTACAAAATAGCCGATTTTCATTAGGCAACAAAAGCCCAAAGGGGGAGAAACCTGTTCTGTGAATATTGCAAGAAAATGCTTATACTGGAATTTGTACCAGTCAAACAACTCTATAACCTCTTTACAATCTGGTTTTGTACCTAATGATTCTACTACGAACCAGCTCGTATCTATTTATAACACATTCTGTCAAGCTCTTGATGTTGGTAAAGAAGTTCGTGCCGTCTTCTGTGATATTTCTAAGGCGTTTGATCGTGTATGGCATCGAGGTCTATTGTATAAACTAAAGTTGACTGGTGTAGCAGATCAATTACTTGATTGGTTCTGTGATTATTTGTCAGAGAGGAAACAGAGAGTCGTACTTCCTGGAGCCATGTCTGATATTATCAATATTTCTTCTGGCGTTCCACAAGGTTCCATCCTTGGTCCTCTTCTTTTTCTTGTCTATATCAATGATATTGTTTGTGATATAAATTCCACTATTAGACTATTTGCTGATGATACAAGCTTGTATATAATTGTTGAAAATCCGATAACAGCTGCGAATATTTTGAACGATGATCTGAATAAAGTCACTAATTGGGCAAATAAATGGCTGGTTACATTCAACCCAAATAAAACTGAATCATTATTAATTTCTCGAAAAGTTACTAAGCCTATCCACCCCCCTCTAGAAATGAATGGTACTCAAATATCGGAAGTCATAACCCACAAACATCTTGGTGTTACTTTTTCAAATGACGGCACTTGGAATCATCATATTGACACTATCAAAGCAAAAGCATGGCAACGAATCAACGTCATGAGAAAATTAAAATTTATTCTTGATAGAAAATCTCTAGAAATCATATATATTACGTTTAATCTAGACAAAACCATTAATCATTTTCAGATATAATTTCAAAATAGCAAACAGTGCAACTCACAATCTTGGTTGGAACTGGTTGCATCTCAAGTATAATCAGTTGTGAGTATTTTCAGTTTCCCCCCAGCGGGCTAAGGGTTCGATACATAAAACATACACAATAATGAATTCAAGATACAAATATCATAAGGAAGATACAGAAATAAAAAGATACAGATACAACAGTTAATGTAATTGCATGAACGGCAAACAAAAATAAAACTTCATGATCTTCAATCCACATGTTTTTTCTTTTTTCCCAAATTAAGTCAATTTACCAAATTAAAACCACACTAGATCATAGAAAAACATCAGGAATAACACAGTAAGCTCCCGGCCGAATATGAACTATGAATTATAATATAGCACTTATGATATTGAATTCCCTACAGTTTTCCATCAGGGACATGTGCCGTGTTCTAAATCAATTAAGTTTCATCTAATCACATCAATATTTCATGCCCCTGCGGGACGCAAACTATTCTTTTCAACGGCATGAAAAACACTTATTACATTTGGCTAAAAACACGTTTTAAAAATTTTCTGGTAACCCTTTGAATAACACACTCACACAAAATTTTGCCAATGTCACGAGTGTAGTCAGGTTGTCCAACATAATTATGCAGTCTGGACAGACTCTTAAACTAGCAGCTGCTTAGTTTTAATATCCAGGAACTAAAATTTCTTAAACTTATTTTCGGACTGTTAAAACCAGACAGGTCAATAAAAATAAATTAATGAGGATTAAAACAAATGAATATTTCTAGCATTGAAAGAAAAAATGTGGGCACATTTAAAGCTGGACAGTCAGAATACTACCTCTTCTGTGTTGGTGTGATGTTAACACCCCCCCCCCCCCCACACCCATTTTTTTTTAAAAGCAGACCTTCCATTATGAACCATTACACTATAATATTTTATGTCCATTATTACTAGAAATTTAACTCAAAATATATTTTCATGTCAAGCATATTTTGCATATAATTTGACTTGAAGATTTGAACATTTTATCTCCTAGCCAATTAATTACATGAATTATTATTTAATAGTTTTTCAATATCTTTACATATTTTTTTATATTTTTTTTTCAATTTCAAATATTGGCAATTTCTAAATGTTAACAAAACAAAAACATTCAGATAATAAACAAAAAAAAGTTGAGGAGAATTTCTAACAAAAAACGTAAAGAAATTGTAACAACATTTTCCATAAGCAGGAAACATTTTGCAAAAAAGCAATGGCTGAAAGTTTTACTGGCAAATGAATGCCAGATTGATTGTTAACAATTATCAATATCATCATCATTATTAACACTACATTTCACAGTTCTTTTCTTACACATACTATATAATTATGGTGACCAATATACATGACATGGAATCTATCAGTCTGTTATACTATAAGGCACTAGCTTAACTTCTGACATGGAAAAAAAAGTTACTTTTTATTTATATGCATGTACAATGTGTGTGGTCACAATAAAAACACAACAAAACAACTATTATAACTTGGTGCAAAAATAAATAAGAAATTAACCACATGAAGAAAATATATCCTTTTTAATTTGCTGTGGTAGAAAAATTAATAACATGATATCCTGGTAGTTAATAATCCTTAATACAATATTCCAACAAAAAACATACATTTTTTTTATTGAATCAAACATTTTAAAACACTTTGAAACTACATAGTTCCAGGTATATGTTCGTGTGTATATTATTTGGTGAATAAGTCTTCATAATTAATTATGCTGTTGTTTCTGAAGGCATTAACTGATGAATTTAACTCGACAGAAACTACCAAACATTTTTAACAAAAGTGTACAATAGCACTTTTTTAGTTACTATTTGCAAAAAAAATCAATGAAATATTTACCATGCATAAAACCAAAGGTTGACACTTTAATTTGACTCTTTGATACAAATTCAAGAAAAAAAGACTTAACTTTTTTCATTTGACTGTCACTAAAAATAAAGCTACAAGGTGGGTGAGACTTTTAAGGTGAATGTAACTGTTTTTATCTTATTCTAACATCACAATAGATTTCAGAAAACTTCAAGTGTTCAGTAAAATCTTTATATTTCTAGGGTAATGAAAAATGAAATATCAATGATACTAGTAAGGAAGGAAGCTCCCAATGGATTGTCACATGAATGCTTTCACAATGGATGTCGCAAAAGAAGGAGTTGCGGTTATGACATTTGAGAGTGACTAGTAATAAAGAAGAGTGGATAAAGTGGACCTTCATTTATCATTGTTTGGAAAAAGTTGCAACCAGTACATTCTGAAGAAGCCAGCAATTTTGACTTTCAATTTTGTACTTTTAGTACGATAATTGGTTTAAACATATTTTTATTTGATATATTAACATTATGATGAACAATATTTACACAATACAATTTGGGACTGGGCAGACAGCTATGAAAGCTTAGGAGTGTCCTGTCCCAGTACAATAATTAAAAGTGTATTTATAGAAAAAAAAGTTTTTTATTTTACCTGGTAAAATGATCATCGTTAATTTGTAGAGGCTTCGGCTTCGCCGTAACTTTATTCACATCCTCATGTAGACCCTCTAGTAAATAACGTAAAAATTCCTGGGCATCTTGTTGTCTAGAATGAAAAAAACCCAGAATATTTCAGTTTAAAACCAAAAAAAAACAAAACATTAAGGTCTTTCCTTAACTGTTTATATATGACCAAAGAGGCAGTCATTTTTACAAACTAATGATAAATAATTCCGCCTAATAAATTCCTGTTATATAAAAACTCCCTGAAAAATATTGCTTTGAAGGTCACTAAATATCATATTTTATTTTCAAACTTTAGATCATGACCTACAAAAGCTGTGGGTAGGACAGCCTGCTCGCCTATTCTCAGTGCTTGACAGTAAAACAAGAGCCTGGATAATATATAATTTTCTAAGTTCAAAAAATGGCTATCATTCTATCAAAATCCATGTTAGAGTTATAGGCCTTGGACCGTGACCTTTTGTTATACTCTAAAATAAGTAAGTTTCAACCAATTCCCTTCAGCATATTTGGAAATACCAACTTGCACAAAATAAGTTAACCAAAGTGTGATGGCCATGCAGAAGCTTGGGGTGAGTATAATAGAATAAAAGCTCTCCCTATTTAAGCTAAAAACTCAATAACGTTCATGAGACCATGCATCAATGTATTTGTATGCATGTTTTTTTAATCACAAATATTATCCTGATAAAAATAATAAATTGTTCTTGATTCGATCTTGATTTGGGCATGTATGCATGTATCTAACAGACTGTTTACAAAAACACATGTTTACATTACAAGCTTGGTAAACTGGGTTCATTTTCTGGATAGTCTGTAGTGTTAATTTAGTCAATTAATATCATTAGCTGATAAAGAACATTGTATCAATAAGTGGTTTTACTTACTGGTAACCAGAGAATCTCGGAGCAAATTTTTGTATTTGTGACTTGAATGAGTTAGGTGACACGTATGAACTACTCTTGTCCTTCCAGAATGATGTGATCAAATTTGCATACGCTGAAACACAAATAAATTTATAATATGAGCCGCATCACGACAAAACCAGGATCCATGCTGTTCACTAACCAACTCTATTACAAGTAGAGGAACTGATAGCGAACAGCATGGATCTTGATCAAACTGCGCGAGAGCGCAGGCTGGTCTGGATCCATGCTGGTCGCAAACACATTATATTGGTTTTGTCATTCCGCGGCTCAAATATAATAATATGCATAACAACACACATACATGTATATGTAACTGAAATACTAAATTACACATTTTCTCAGACCATAAGAAGATAACTAAGTAACTTCGCTCTTTTTCTTTTTCTTTAATCTGATTAGAATCAGGCACTGTGATCAGAATCAGGATTAAATGATCATGATTTTATTTGCATTGCTTTATAATTTAAAGATGATCATATTTCGCCAGAATTAAATGGTACATTTTTAAAAATGTAAAAAATTGCTGATTTGCTGATCAACAGTAAAATGCAAGTATCTTGCAAAAATACCAATAAATGATATTTTTAAATCTATTCTAAAATTTCTTAAATACATATGAATGCTACTTCAAATCAAGTTTATTCAAGTTAATATGTAATATTTAATCTATGTGGATAAACCATGGCAATATGTAAGTGTTTAGATTTGATCCCGATCTTGAGCCTTAAATCTTTGTGAACACAGGCCTGCTTACTCATAATGCTTTGCTACATGTAAAACCAAAGAAGACTTTATTCAGATAACTTTTTAGTTTATTTTCACATCTTTGAATAAATAAGCTGTTTTGACCTAAATCAGAATCTAAACATTTAAATTCTAAACTATCAAAATGAAAAAATAAACCATTGAACCGCTATGCTTAATTTACATACATATACAGATGACCTTTCAAGAAAAGCTTACTGACTGAATTAATTTCTTATCCGGGGATTTAACCGGACATCAGTTTCTCAAGGATTAAGTACAGCAACAAGTTCCATCACCTTTGCACTCTTTAAGCATGTTACCGCCATTTTATTATCTTGATCAAATTATCACAGTATTATCTGTTTATAAGTCACGATACTGGAAAAATTTAAATAACATATCCCTGGAAATTGCAACAGATCCTGTCAATTCTGACTGTTAACAAATTCAATTAAATGGCAAATAAGCTCAAGGGAGTTAAGCATGGAAGGAAACTAGACATGGTTACATTTTATGCTATAATTAATGACCTATTTGTCACCCAATTTAATGATATTTTTGATCATGATGTTATTATCGTACATGTACTAATATTTGTTTGCAATGAGATATTGAAAAATATTAATTAGTGAGATAAAAGTCAAATCACACTTCTAATAAAAATATACCTAGTGGAATACAGAATTTTGAGTCCCATTTTACACAGTCAATAACAGATAACAATCTTCGCTATGTTCGGATAACGAACATTGTAATGTGCATCATTTGGCACAAATTTTGGTAACCTCTGTCTGGCTTGATAATATTACAAGCTAGTGAAAGTATCTTTAAATTCTCACTTATTGGTGAGATATTGTCCATATTCAATGACCACCTCAAATATCCTGTCAGAGATCGGAAATTCCACTCCTCCATTCGTAATTACGAGTAGAATTTAAGAGAACTCGATGCATGGAGTAGAAAAATGTTGCCTGCCTATCTGATTTAGAAGCTACTCCTGCAGGACGAGTGACTCTGAAAATATTTTTTGACGCCTGCCTGTATTTGATGTTATATGTTCATGTCTTATTTGATGTACTTACCAATAATCAAGGCCCCTTTTAATTTACTTGTAGTATTATTCTTGTCTAAAATATAATCTTCTTTGATGGTGTACTCAAGTAAAGGTTTTGTATTGCTGAGGCATTGTAGCACTGAGTTCATGAAACACTGAAATAAATATATATATAACATAAATTGATCAAATCATATTAATGAACAGAGCTCCAGATCTTGGATTCCCCAAAAATATTTAAAATTGTCCATATTGCCCAGGTTGTCCCACTACCTGAACAGGAAAGTGAAATGTTTCCAGAATTTTAATTTATAAATAGCATATACATGTTCAAACAAGTTAAGAAATGCTTCAGATGAAACTGGCAAGTAAGTCAGTCAGATTTTGCCAGCCCCTGCCATTTAAGAAAAAATATCCATTTAAGACAAAATGTTATAAATCCGGACTTATTTCTTATTTGTAATTTTTCTAATCTCTTTTTAAATATTCTTTGCCACACTGACAGTTGCTTTATGTTATGGATTTACTCTGCAATGACACTGCAAATTCAACTGCATTATTAACCTTGACTGCACAAAATGTATTGCCCAATAGGTCAGCCATTTTTTTTTTACTTTTGCTATCTAGAGGACATCATTCTAGCAAAGTCCAGTATATTTTTTAAGTTATTATAAAATTTGTACATGTGTATAAACAGTTAACTTCTTCCTGTTTAAGTACTACAGAGCACACAGTCTTAATCTATTCTTTTTTTGTCATAAAGCCATAACTTATACTGATAATATGATTGTATTCAAGAACATTATCTCCCAAAGTATTTGAACATAAGCCTACCTCAACATTTTAAAACATTAAATTTTCTCACAACCACAAATGACTCATCTTTTTTTTTTTAACAGTAGTTCAGTTTGTAGTTTAAATGCAAAATTTTAAACTTTGAAAATAAAATTTTAAGCACGAAATATGTATTGGTCATCAAATATGATCAATATAAAAATTAATTATATATTTTTTAATAAATCATAAGCATTGGTCCACAAAATATATCTTAAATAAGAATTGGTCCACAAAATATATCATCTCAAATACTAAATTAAATATGTATTGGTCCACAAAATATATCTTAAATATGTATTGATGCACAAAATATATCTTCAATATGTAATGACACATTGATGCACAAAATATATCTTAAATATGTATTGGTCCATAAAATATATCTTAAATATGTATTGGTCCATAAAATATATCTTAAATATGTATTGGTCCACAAAATATATCTTCAATATGTAATGACACATTGATGCACAAAATATATCTTAAATATGTATTGGTCCATAAAATATATCTTAAATATGAATTGGTCCATAAAATATATCTTAAATATGTATTGGTGCACCAAATATATCTTAAATATGTATTGGTACACAAAATATATCTTAAATATGTCTTGGTCCTTAAAATATATCTTAAATATGTATTGGTCCATAAAATATATCTTAAATATGTATTGGTCCATAAAATATATCTTAAATATGTATTGGTGCACCAAATATATCTTAAATATGTATTGGTCCATAAAATATATCTTAAATATGTATTGGTCCATAAAATATATCTTAAATATGTATTGGTCCATAAAATATATCTTAAATATGTATTGGTCCATAAAATATATCTTAAATATGTATTGGTCCATAAAATATATCTTAAATATGTATTGGTGCACCAAATATATCTTAAATATGTATTGGTCCACAAAATATATCTTAAATATGTAATGACACATTGATGCACAAAATATATCTTAAATATGTATTGGTCCATAAAATATATCTTAAATATGTATTGGTGTACCAAATATATCTTAAATATGTATTGGTCCACAAAATATATCTTAAATATGTAATGACACATTGATGCACAAAATATATCTTAAATATGTATTGGTCCATAAAATATATCTTAAATATGTATTGGTCCATAAAATATATCTTAAATATGTATTGGTCTATAAAATATATCTTAAATATGTATTGGTCCATAAAATATATCTTAAATATGTATTGGTCCATAAAATATATCTTAAATATGTATTGGTGCACCAAATATATCTAAGTTGTAAATTTGTTATTATACTTACAGTATTGCCAATATTTCTCAAACCAACTTTACCACCAAAGTTGTACTTTGAAGTTCCCTATAAAACAGAAAACATTTATTTTAAGAAAATATCTACATTTATAAATATCAACGGCCTCTTTCAAATGCTCCAATGGCTATGAATTTCTTCTTAGTGGACAGAAATCATAGATTTCAGTCACACCATCACTTTTTGATTTACTATATATTTACTATTTACTGTATGTTATGATATATTCAGCTGTAACTTTTGGTTAGAGAAAAAAAGATTCCTCTCTGTGCATTATTTTAGAGACAACCAAGTTCCCTGGCAAAAATAAATTTGGGATTTGAACTCAGCATTTTTTTTACCACTAGAGCATGGAGACTACATGTAACTAACTGGTTGGACAGTTTGAATAGTAGAATAAATTTGGAATGTTGTAATGTAATAAATTATATTATACATTTAAAGAACTGTTTAAGACTGAACTGTTCCTGTATACTCACAGTTGATATAGAGCTGCTTGAACTTTGCCGTGACAGGGATTTAGTGCCGCCAATATCATTTAAAGTATCCTTTCTTCTGTTGTCATTATCTCTTGGTAAAGTTGTTGTACGTCCAGTACTATCTCTACCCCTTGACGAGAATAATATATCTTCATTAGAAACAGATCCATTAGATATACGGCTAACACGAGAACCAACCCTTGAGTTGACGTCATTCAGATTTTGGTCATGACGATCTTTCCGAGACTCCCGCCCACCGTATAAACTGTCGTCTGAATCATTTGGTCTTGGTGAAGCTTTAACACTATCAACACCATTTAATCGAATATTTGATAAATTATCAGACAGTTTGTCTGTAGTCGAAACACTTCTTGAGCGTATACTTCTATTTCCTATATCTTTCGTTGTGTTATTCAATGCTGCAGTATTTGTCGAGTACTTCCTTGGAAGAGTACCTAATGTTGGAGTATATTCAAATTTAGTACTTGCATGATATGAATGGTCCGCACGCAAAGGTCCAGAACGCACACTGCTTGTACTGTTTTTCCTAATATCACTTGATGTGTATGTATTTAGTTTCCTTCCTGTGTAATCAAGTGGGCCTGGCCCAGCAGGCAGAGGTCTTGAGTTTGGACGGCTAGAATTTGACAACCCTGTGCTATAAACACCATTAGAAGTGCCATATTTCCTTGAAGCGGAACCACTTCTCCTTGAGTATGTTGACGAGTATAGATCCTTACTGCCTGGCATCGTCCCCAACCCATATGTTGTTGGCAACGGCGATAGTAGGGTAGCACGGTAACTCATTTAAACCTTGGGCTTTGAACCAACTGTTCATAAGTATGGCTCCACACATGTGCCAGCTTTTTTTTGGCTTTTTTTTCTTTCAAAATAACATTACATCTACAACAAACAATAAAAGTAACATCAGACGGATTAAATTTTACATAGATTTATATGGAAAATTAATCTAACCAGCCTATATAAGGACAGCATAATTCCAATACTCAAGCTGGGATGAATAAAAGCAACGCAATTATTGTAATGAAATTTTCTGCTCTATACCATATTGGTTTACTACATCTCTATTTCAGAGCTACACAGTAAATTAAGTGGAATCATGGAATACAACATGTATCATACACATGTATATTGAAAAAAGTCTTACAGTTTCACACTTCCCTACAATTATTATTAAGAATCAACTTCAATCAATATTATATATACATATGTACACAGATGCATAAAATATATTATAAGTCATTAACTAGTTTTTAAGTTATAATCAATAAGCTAGACATTAGCAGAGGTTATCCGCGTTGGGTGCAAGCCCTACCCCAAAGGTACCACCCCCCCACGGACCCACTATACTACCCAAATATACTTCAACACATTCAAAATACATGTCAATATAAAATCAATTCTATCAAAAAATATATTACATAGGCCTGGTCCCATGCCGATAACCTGTGGACATTAGTAGTGATTATTGCATTAGAAAGTGTAATACATTAAATCATAAGCTTTTGACTAGTAGTAGTAGTAGTTAGTAATTACTAGTTATACCATCCATTGAGCTGTGTTTTTACCTACATGTTTAGTCAAAATTATCATAGGTAGTTAATACCCATTACATTTCATTCAAGAAATCCCCAAGAAATTGTTTCTCAGCATACCAGCATACATTTCTCTATCATGCAATGAAAAACCTATTTTGTAAGGTCACATTAACTGTGTTCAGTCAAAGAATTACCACAATTTATTGTAGTTACTTTAAAAAGGAGTCATTTTTGCATTTTTACCATAATCAAATCAGAAAAACTAGGCTTATTTCTTCTTGATTTATTGATCAGACAATATTTTTTTACATTACATGTCACAGTGACCTTGAACTGTGACCTAATGACCTCAAAATTCACAGACCGCGGGCAATATCCCTATTGTATTTTACAAAGTGAACTAGCTTAAACTTGTCACTCAATAGTGTCATTGTAAACTTGATCTTTGATCCAAAAGTATCTACTTGCTTTGGCAAAGCCTCTACAAAGTTTTACAAACCTAGGTTTATTTCTTTGAAAGTTATTTAAATTTTTCACTACATGCAAGTGTCACTGTGAACTTGACCTTTTATGCTAAAGATTCAAAATCGATAGGGGTTATCTTAAATGCCAGGCATGGGCAATGTCACTACTGTGACTACTAAGTTTCACAACTATATCCTATTCCTTTTCAGGCCATTGATACTAGGACAAGGATTTTACACTTAATGTCACTGTGACCTTGACCTTTGGCAAAATCAAAATGGGACATCTACTGGACATGACCAGCCTCTCAACTTAGACAGGATATCTAACTCTTATCAAGCTACTAAGCAGCCATCGAAATGCCCAGTGCATGCTTGTCCCCAGAACCATACTTAACACCAGCAGCCATGCATGTATATTTATAAGTATGTTGACAATTTTTTAAATAATAGACTGACAGACATACTATAGATAGCATGTTTAATTGAAATTAATTTGAAAATTTGATAAAATGTGTGGCTATGTTCAGTTGTTTCTGTTTGATATCACCAATGCATGACCAAAATACAATTAAGGAAACTTCACTCGTGCAGCATGAGGAAACGTTTTAATCAAATATGAAGACAAGTGCAATCTATATTGAATATTCAAGTACAAAAACATAAAATATGCAGAAAATGTGGCTATGCTGCTGGAATGTTGACCTTCAGAATCTCTTTACGCCTTGTATTTAAATCAGTCTGATTTAAATATGAAAATAAGTTTATGAAATAAAATAAAAGGGGTCACTGCCCTACATTTCGAGTTATCTGTGACCTGTCCCTGTTTTTTGCTCTTTGAGGTTATATTTTAATTAATTAGTTCAATTACAATGTACATGTAGTAAACATTAGACAGTAAACACACAGCATTTTCCTTCAAAGGAAGGGGGATAACTAAATTAAATTTCTTTAATTTAGCATTAGCAAATTAGAACAAAATATTTCACATAGAAGTCCAGCAATTTAATTTCACTTTAACAGGAAATAATATAACAAACATAAAATAGGAATTCAAATGATGCATTGCTTGCCACAGTCTTGAGTTATATGCTCTTGAAAACAGTTATTCAAAAAGTAATATGTCACAACCCTTAATCTTCTTTCACAAATTTGTTTTATAAATGTTTTTCTTTAATTATGCAAAGTTAACGAAAATTCTTTGCACTTGTTTTGTTTTCATTTTCTTGCCTATGTAAAAAAGGTTCAGATTGTTGGCTTTGTGATTAATTAATTTATAAGCAGGTGTCTGTCTTTGAAACATTGTAAAATGTTATGTTTTCTGTGATAAAGTTTACAATTTTTTCACAAAATCTGAAATATAAATAGACTTAGATGATGCTTTATTTCTTTCAGTTATCACGTAATCAATAATATTATTCAAAAAGTCCAGATAACTGTTTGTCTCAATGAAAATAAAACACCGCTTCTGTTTAGGTATAGAATTTTATATATTCTTTAATTGTAACTTGTTTCTTATTTGATTTTCTTTTAAATATAGACATGAAGTCTGTAGCAGGGAAAGCCAAACCCTGGCTAGCTTCATGGTCGGGGTCTTTGACTTCCCCGCAGAAAATTCAAATAAAACAAATATGAAATTAGGCAAAGCTTATGAATGGGGAACTGGGTTAAAAAAAGTTCATTTTTCTGTTTTAAAGGTGTCATTTGCTATTATAATATATGCACCGCTTCTGTTTTCACTCTGAATACTCGATGATTATTATTAATCCAAAAAGTTGCTATTGTTCGTCAGCGATATACTCTGCATATTATCATTGAGTTACATTGAAAATGGTGGCATCCGACTAGAACTGACACTGAAAATTTCATTGAAAGCAATAGAATCTATATATACTTTGTTTTTTAATTTGATTTTCTTTAAATATACAGGTGTAGTCTACAGCCTGGCAAGCCAAAGCCCGGGTCACTGCACAAAGTGGTCACAGCCTTAGATTTCTCGTATTGAAAAAATTAGAGATCTTATAGACCCGTCAAAGAAATTTTTCAGTGTCATTTTTATTTTTTTAATTTGAAAATGAAATCAATCTCGAAAAACAGTTACAAAAACTTGTGTAACAATTTTTAATATTAGCGGTAAAAGAGGAATTCACATTCTTTATTTAATCAAACCGTTAAAACCCTAAAGCCTTTACGGCTTTTGTCATTTCAAAATAACGGTTTGTGTAAATACCAAACATATGAACTTGTCAACCACATTTGAGCCTAGTATTGATAAACCAGTCTACAAATCAGTCATAACAGGTTATATAATATTTTGCTTGACTTTGTATAATTTGTGATATTCTAGCTCTATTTGGATATATTCCAAAAATTCATCAAGAAATGTTTACAAGAGTCCCACAAAAAGAATTTATAACTACTCCCATTCTTTGTTACATTTTTATAACATTATTCAGAACCAAATGTACCTTTCCTATCATATAAAGAACACTTCCAAATATAGGCGTCAAAGTTTGGTGTTGGATATCAATCAACTGTCAGAAAAAAATGAGTGTTTCACGAATTCCAACAACGCCCACACGTTACTGAGAGACAATATATGGACGATTTAACTTCATGAATTTAAGATTATTATTCCAATATAAATGCTACCGGTATATATGTAATTTATCCTGGGAACACATAAAAATACCCCTGCAAAATTGACACCCTACCTGTCAAGTAGATTACTCCATTTCCGCCATCTTGATTACGACACTGATTTCTGCGTGTCTCTATGGTTACTGAATTGTTGACGATACGATATTGCAAATTATTTATAAATATCTACTTTAAAAATAATCGTTTAAATATGCACAAGAATATAGCACTGTGAGGTCGACCCATTTTTATTCAATGTGTATTATTTTTTTACCGCCATTTAAAACTCAGATAAATATTCACCTCTGTAAACTCTTTTATGCGAAAGTAATTTATATTGCGGAAAGAATACTTATTTTCCGTGTTTTGGAATTGTAGTATTTTTGTTTTAAAAGTGGTAATTTGTCTAAACGACGGTAAAAAAATCATCATTCAATAATAATTGAATAATAAGTTTTTACTTTTGAGAGTGGTGGGGCAATAATTGGTCAAATAAGGCTGATGTATAGAGATCTATCATCTTTAGTCAGAGACATATAAATACGTATTTTAACGTCTCTGCTTTAGTAGATGAAATATAATGTATTCTAATATGGAAGAAAAATCAAATCCGATCTCTCTCTCTATATATATAGCCAAAGTAACAATAAGTTTAATTATTATTTCAGGCTCGGTTCGACTGAGTCATTATTCAGGGTTTTAGGGGTTTTTCTAATGTAACACAGTGCACAGTACCATGGGCTTCTAAAAACAGTGCCTTAAATTATTTAAATTGTTAGTCAACACACGCGTTTTCAAGAATGAGATTGTCAGCTCTAATGGCACCAACAAAATAAATAAATAAACGTAGTGCAATATTCTAAGATGTCATGCAGAACTTAAATATACACTTTTCTTTTTCTATGTAACTCATCTATTTGTTACGACTTTAATATCATTTAAAATAGAGAAAATAAGAATCCCTAAAGAAAGCCCAACACGACAACATTGAAAATGTTGCAGGCTCCGTTTGATTGAGCCTGTTCATTGACGGTACTGTCAAGTGCAAACTACTGTCCACGCCTCCTAGACCGGCTTAAGCAAAATTCAACATTTAACATGAACTGGTACAATTTGGAATTTTGAAACATCCGCAGATGTGTTCATATGGTGGTTATCATGGAACCTTCAATGTGACACGTAAGTGCCATTCCATGAAAAGCGGCATATGGTCCCAAATTTAAAAAAATGCGTGTGCCCTAAACGAGAAAACAATGGGCGGAACTAAATAAAATGAAATTTTTAAAGGGGATTAGAGGTTATGAAACAGCATATCACAGATAATACGCCAATAGACAAATTTAAAAAGCAAGCCACATATCTTAAGGGTGATTCAACAGTATTCAAGTGAGGAATACTGGAACCACCCAACAAGAAAATAGCCGAATAGAAAAAAATAAATAAATTATAAGCACAACAAAAATGTCGTGCTGAACGATCTTTAAGGATCGGAAATATAACATCTCTGATTGAATGTACGTGGCGACTTTTTACAGCCTCCACACGGCACAAACAACACTGATGTGGCGATAAAATAGAGAAAATAAGAATCCCTAAAGAAAGCCCATTTAAAGCTCATTTAAAGTCGTGCTTAGACACATGTTTATTTAAATTCTTTATGGTTTGGTTGCTGCGATACATATATACCTTAAAACTGCATGTATATATCTATACACAAATATGATTAAAATCGATCAATTTGATCACATATGTATCGTATCATTGAGATACATTGCATGTATAATGTAATAACTTAAATTAAAATCGTTTAACTGCATTAATTTACATGGAGTTGATAATCAGTTACGTCATGTAGTTCAGATAAAATAATTGTTACAAAACTCTTGATAGCAAATGGAAGATAAGGTGTCGTTCTAAATTAAGGATAGAGTAATGAAATTCGGATATGAATTGTTTGCATATCTTTATGCTGTCGGTGAGTAACCGGAGACTTCACTATTGTATTAATCATCTAATGGGGCGTCCGAGGCCGAGTGGTTTATTTCTTTGTCTTCAAACCACTTGCCCCTCACCGCTGTAGGTTTGATTTTCGCTAGAGGCTTATTCTTTCATGTGAGGAAGCTATCCAGCTAGTTTACGGAACTTCGGCGGTTCTACTCTAGTGACCGGTCGTATCTGAAATAATGCACGGAGGGACAACTGAGGTTTCCCCCCACCATTAAAGTCGCTATATGCCCTTTAATGTGCTGGTGCGACGTTAAACCCACAAATATAAATAAAAATCGTGTAATCTAAAAGGTTAACAGTCACTGCAGAACAGATAATAATACTGCAACAGGAAATATATTTCTAACACTAAAGTCTCCAAATGGAAATTTAAACAATATTGATATAAAAATGTGTTAATGAAATAGTTTTAGAAATACCACATTGTAGTGAAATTATAAGAAATGGTGCAAGTTTGAGCGCACTTGAAGAGTTATGTATATACCCGAATATGGTATTTAGTGTGGTGCCCCAACACTTTTTAAAGTCTCACTCATTAATTACACAGAGACTTGGGACGTGGAGCTCAAAACACATTTAAATTCCAAATGAAATGTTTATTTGTCAATCCCAGCACATATACGTATCATATATGTTAAAAAACTTAATATAAGTCGTTTTGGGGAAAAAGACCCACACATTTCAACGTCTATAATAATACACATTATTAAAGACGTTTAAATATGATTTTTAAAAAACGGCTTATGATTATTACATGTGCCACAAATGACAAATATTCATTTTATTTGGAATTTAAATGCTTTTTTGAGTTCCACACCCCAAGTGTCTGTGATTAATTATACCACACTAACTACTTCACTTCACTTCCTGTCTGGATATTCTGAACTATTTTCTCGTCTATTTATCTCCCTTTTTCCATGCCAAGATATTTTCTTTTAATTTGACATAGTGATTATTTTTTAGACATTAAACACGCTGAACCCCTCTTAAAAAACCTTCACTTGCTACACTACATTGTACAAATAGTGATAAAAAGTGATATCAATGCCTAGGAAATCACTGATATCGGTATTTTTATATTACGAACATTAACTGGCGTTGTAATTCTTGTTTTCTTTTTTCAGTTTCAGTCTTGGCACCGTGCTCGGTGAAAAGTGCAGGTATTTACTTCCTATGCTTTCGACTTTATAATTTAAAAAAATTCTATTTGAAAGACCCTGCCGTAACATATCTTGATCATTATGTATTTAAAATTTTAAACATATTTTCGATTGTTTCGATTTCCTTGATTCAAATGTATTTTAAAGTTTTAACAGACGGTATACATGGATGCAGAATCTTGATACTTTATTTCCAGTAAATATTGTTCTAACGAAAGCTCATGAAGGCATAAGTACTGGTTCCTTTGAAGATTTTAAGCCGACACGATTCTCCTTATATTTAGATTCTAACTTTCTAAGAGCATTAGCGATGCCATTCAAATCAACAATTACAGACTGTACTTCTTTCAACAATCTTTATTTTTATTTTCAGACCACTCTTCTCTGGCCGAGGTTGATAATCTAGGTAGTGTTGCCACGTGTTTAATTAGGTGCATGGGCTATGGTATTCGTTTGTTTATTATCACCACTGATGTCAGGAAACCATCACGTATAATACATGCAGCCAATAGGCATTTACTTTAGAATGAACTTTGATTTGCCTAGAACTATTAAGTAATTCATTTATACTCAAGGATTGCATTTTCGTATTTCTGCCAACAAGTTTTCTTGATTTTACATATCTTTTCAACGAGAAAACACGTGTATAGCTTTTTTGGTGCGATTGAGCATTATTCATACATTTGTTGGGTTTATTTTTTATTTCACAGTAAAATGTAGTTTTGATAATGATATATGCAATTGGCGCCAATCTACTGGTGACGATTTTGATTGGACATTGTTAAGTGGAAACACGCCCACTACTAATACTGGACCGCCTACAGATCATACGTATAGGAACTCCTCTGGTACAATCACAATATTCCAAATAGTAGCATTTCGTTTTATCAAATATTGCACCAATTTAACGTATAATACTGATAGATGTTTATAAATTCCATACAATTTTATCATTGAAGCATACGTTGTATATGGCCAAAAACCCATCGAAAATTACAAAAATACACTCAAAGACACACAATTTGATATGGCATAAAATTATAATTCATACATGTTCAATGCTTATGTAGATCCTTAATTGAATGTTTATGTATGGAAGAAAGCATTTCTGTTATACGACTTTCCCCTACTAATTAACGTGTCCACTAGTGCCGAGAATAATGCACGGAGGTGGACCTGAGGTCTTTCTTCGCCAGTAAATCTGAAAAAAAACGCCATGTGACATTCAAACCGTGTGACTTAAAACAAATAAGCCTTTACGGCAACATAATTAAGTTTCGCATTCAAATGATACATGTAATAATAATTGCATCGCCAATACATATTTCATCAAATTAAAAACGAGCTGTGCATTTGTTTTATTTTTTTTTCAAAGGAAAGTACATATTCATCGAGACATCAGCACCAAGGCAATTGAACGAGAAAGCAACACTTATCAGTCCGCTGATAGATACGTGGAACAATAACTATATGTGTTTTAGCATGTGGTTTTATGCATACGGTTCCAATATTGGTAATTTACAAATTGTTCGGAAACAATCTCAGTATGAGAATAAAACAGAAACATTATGGACAAATAATTTCCAGGGACCTTCATGGCAGCACACATCTGTGACAATTTTGCCGACAGGCCCTTTTCAGGTATTTCAAACCTATTGGTAGGGTTCTTAACATGGAGTCTCTGTCATTTACTTACACAAGCCTTCCAAGATACTTTCTTTCGGTTGTTAACAATGTCTCATAAAAAATGGTTCACGCCAATTTTTGAAAGTTAAAGATATACTATGCTCATCTTAGAGTAAAATATTTTAATCACAGAAATTTATTGAAATTTATGAAATTCTTACTGAATATGTCTAATTTGAATACATGTAAAAAATGAATAAATCATGTATAAAAAGCTGCATTCAAGTAAAGTTGGTCTTTTCTTAAAAAAACCCTGATATTTTACTTTTTAATGACACTATACTGGTTGGGGACCATCAACCGGACACTTTTTGAACATTTTTCTATACAGATTTAATAATTTCAACCCTAAAGACCTTGTTTGACACAGTACAGCTAGGTTCTTCTCCTAACTAACAAACTAGTTTGTTTATTTCTGATTATATTGACACTTTTATCTGAGGCCTGTCGTCGGGGGGTATCTAAATTACCTAAATTGCCCACACTACACTACCATGTGTCCGGACGGATATGTACATGACGTGATTTAATTCAGACAAAAGCTTGGGTGTTTAATTTTTTTATTTTTAACATGACATACAATATATCACCAGCAAATGCTGAAATTTGAGATATTCTTTTGTTTACTCTGCAAATGATTATAGGTGGTATATGAGGTCACGTATTGCACTCTTGATGCCCCAATCTTCAGTGTCAACATTCTTGAAATATACACTAACATATTACCGTTTACGGAAGTTGAAATAAATTTTATTAATCATAAAAGAAACATGCATGTTGATAATAAAGTGACTGATAGATCGTAAACCACTAAACAAAGAAAAAACACTATATTAAGCATTTTCAGGGCCGTCCGGGTTTGATGGTTGTCCGGTTTTGGTGGTCTCCAACCAGTATATTCATATTGTGACCATCATATAGTGTGTAGAATTTTAAACATTACATAGAGTCAAACCCTCGTATCTTATATTTAGAAAGAGCCTGTGTATAAATTATCAATATTTTCTTATAATTAGCTATAGAGTTGAAATCCAATTTAATACAAATATGAAATTGACTTTGAAATAATGAACACTCTGATTAAAGTCAGCTTCTATAATTAATGTTTTTCTTTAGGTAAAACATAAGATTTAAAAACTTATTTAAGTCGGATTGAAAAATACGAATAATTTATTTTATGCTTTTCAGTGGATTACTGATTTATCCGTGAAAATTATATTTGATAATTTCACAGTGAATATTATCAAAATATAATTTCACTTTTTTCAATGACGAAACTACTTTTTTAAGATTTTCCCTATGTGGTACCTCAATTTTATTTTTACTGACAATTCTGACAATATCAGGCTGTTAAAAAAATAGCAAAGCTGAAATAAATAACTTAAATGTCAAAAGTAATAAAGAGAGAAAACTTACTTCTATTCCTTCAAATTCCAATCACAAAATTTCGTCTCTAAATTTTTTTGTTTCGTTTTTACAGTCTGAAAAATACATTCCTTCCCCATGCAAAACTGCTCTTGATGACATTTGGGCATATTAAAGTATCCTACGAGCAATAACTGCCGTATGCTTTATGAAAAATTGAAAAGCATTGACAGCTATCACTCGTAAAATAAGTAAATTAACCCAGCGTTCCTTACAAATTATGCCTTAGGCTTAGCAAGCTTCCAAGTTTTCCATTTTCCTAGCTCCTTTTCTGAATGTTTTCACTTCTGTCAACACTTCTTTTTTGTCTGTTACAATCCTCAAATAAGTTTTCTTTCTTTTAAAAAGGTGTATGACTAACAAATCCAAATTATATCCTTCTGTATCTTACACAATTATTTTCCTCCCATGAAATACACGATTTTAAAAAATGGCTGCCGTTTACATTTTACAAAGCCAGGTCTAATATAAATTCGCAGTAAGTAACAGAAATATGGATGGATGGTTGGACTTTTTCTCCTACAAGAATTGTTTGTTTTTATTATTAAAACAAGCGATCATTCATATTTTTTTAATAAAATGAATAAATATGACATTCATTTAACCTTCATTGGCGGACTTATTTTTCAGCTCAAGACTTCTTGTTTTTAATGAGAAATTCCCTCTAAATGGGGCTCTCAATGGGGGAAACAGATTTTAATATTAACGTTAAAATTATGGAAATTTCGTTTTAACTTGTTTTAAAGCATAAAATAAAAAGAAAATTTGTCTGTTTGTTGTGTAAGATGTAATTTCATTTCATCTCGTGAACTTTAAAAACAGTATTCTCACTCGTGGCTACGCCACTCGTGAGAATACTGTTTTTAAAGCCCACTCGATGAAATAAAATTTCATCTTACACACAAACAAACAAATATCCTCTATATAGATGATGTTTGCATATGTTAAAATATGTTGTTGTTTTTTGTACCAGATTATAATAGAAGGAACTGTTGGAGACGGTTACCTTGGAGATATAGCAGTTGACGATGTTGAAATAACCGAAGGAAATTGCACTGCTAAACTCGTAAGGATTATATGTATTGCAATGGTATTAATGTGTAATTATATAGTTTTATAGAGTAGAACATTGTACTACTAGACAACCACATTGCCAATTCATCGATAAATTTGCTTTCATTTAACGATTTACTAAAATGAATTTTAATAAAAGGCGTAAAATAACAATTAATCCGAATTAAAGTGTAGAACACATATATGGGTAAGTAAATAGAATGTAATGAAATGACGTATGGCTCTAAAACAATGAGCTACCACTTACTTTTTTCAATTTATTCCTAATGATGGATCAAACTTCTTCAAAGTCTTTAAGAGCAGATGTACTACAAACACGAAGGGGAAGTAATCGTAATTTCTGTTTTACTTTCAGAGTCAATGTAAACCCATCACCAGTTGGATGACTTTTAACAAAAAAAATTGAATTTTCTTGAACGATATGCGAGACATTTATTCTTGTTAAAATGGTATATGTTATGTTAAATACATTATTTTACTGAAATGCATGAAAAGATTTGTTTGATCTTCTATTTTATATAATGAATAAATATACATTCTTTGATGCTGGCCCATATGGTATTTTTTCCGGTGGGGAGGGTTAACAAACCTCAACACACACAAATATATTCTTTTATGTTAAAGGGACTCCGCTGAGTTTTTTTTCTTGACATGAAGAGACTGAAAATATCTTTTTCAAGAGTTCTGTACGACTTATGTGGGTTTAGATAAATAACTCTTGTGCAAAATTTCAGATCATTTGCTCACTCCGTTTCTGAGGGATAATCATTTTTATTGCGCAAAGACCCCAAATTGAAAAGCGTTGCAACGCTTTTTACTCTAACCGGCCAAAATACGCATACATATCGATTATTAATTTAGTACAAAGTATATTTACTTATCACATTTAGCAAAGTTTTCCATTTTATAAGCATCAGTTTTATTGATAGGAGAATTCCAAATTTTAATTTTATTATTTTAGGCTATTAGACCTAAGTGGAGACCCTTTAATGCCTAAAGTCTGCAAAATGTCGTCTGCTGGAAGACTTTGTTCTATCAAATATCTCTTTAGGCGAAGGATCATAGTCAAATAAATGAAAGTCCAACTCAAAATTTGCAGCGAATCGTTTTAAAACATCTACCGGCACAGAACGATACATTTCAATAAAAACTTCTCTCTTTTGTTTCTTCAACTTTGAACTATCGGAGTTTCTCCAAGCACTTTTTGCAGTTTCCAAGAACATTTCTTTACTGATTCTTGCCGATGCATATCTTGTTAATGGAAATTTTTTATCCATGCCAATTAAACCTCGCATTTGAAGCTTCCTCCAAATTCTTTGCAAAGCTTCGTGCCAACCCATACATCTTAGAATATCTTTTCGCCAGCTGTACGGACTAAATATACTGTCTTCAAGTGCATCAAAGACAGACTTTTCCTTTAAACCGTCCTCAAGAAAAGGAATTGCATTCTCTAATTGAAGATTTTCAAGAACCGGAAACATGTCTTCTCTGAACGATTCCATTTTACCTGAAATATTTCATGTAGGGAACATATACGTATATGATAATCATAATGCATTAAACGAGATTAGTAATTAAGAACAACGTGTTATGTTTCACTGTAAAAACAGATTTTGTTTCGCGAGTGATTTAATTTCGCTAATTTTGCCAATTGACGAATTACGTGAAAATTGATATTCACTTATCAATGGAGCTGAAGAAAATTGGTGCAAAAAAGGAAAATATATGTATTGCAATGGATAACAAAATAACAGTTTGGCATACATGATCAATAAAATATTGTATTCCTAGAAACTTTCGCGGCAATATAAATATTTCGCGGTTTTCATAAGAATGGAGTTTTCGCGGAGACAAACTTTCGCGCAATCACGGTGATCGCGAATTTCGGGAATATTACGTCTCGATGTTAATGATGGCTCAAAAGGAGGACAGAGTGCTACCTACCGACGAAGGTAAAATTCACAGTACATGGCACACACATTTCTGTAGCAGGTAAGAAATGGGGATCAGCTTTCCTGAAGTTCTTCACGGACCAGGTAACAAACTGGACGAACTCCGAGAAACTTGCGTCATGGTAACACGTGCTATTGCTTTGTTTCCTAAACAACTGTATAGAAGGTTTTCCAAACTGATCCCAAAATTGCGGGTTGGGAACGAAAATTTTGTCAATATATGCTGAGAGAATCCGATGGAAAGGGTTTCTTACGAAAAAGAATTTAAAGTCGCTTTTAATATCAATCGTCGTTTGATTGGCAACTGGATGAATGAAATTTTGAGATAACGCCTGATATATTGAAACTTCGTAAGGGTGATTTATTTCATTTCTATGCAAAGTTTGATAAATGGCTCTCCTCCAAAAGGTTGTACCGACTTTCTCAACAGGGCAGTACAGACTTCGGTTTTCAGATGCCAACTCCATACGCTGTATCCAGAACGGAATGTGATCTTTTTCTCTAAATGGTTTTTGGAGAGACTTACATCTTTTCCTGACTAATGAGGCCAATTTGAAGCCCGATGAACTCTTGGCCTGCAAATATAGAACATTCACCTTTGCTAATGTTAATGTATTTGATGTGTATATAATTAGAATTCGATGTTAAAAAAAGAAAAGAAACAAAATAGCCTGGAAGAGGCAATTTAATGAGTATTGCTTATTTTGAACATAATTAAATCAGGATTTGGCTTTATAAAGGGTATTGCCTATTTGAAAATGTAGTCTTATGGTTACAATTAGATTTTTATTGCAAATCTTTATATGGTTTTGCTCTTATTAAGCAATAACCATGCAAGTCGAATAATTGTTTTGTTTAACATTCACCATGCCAAATTGTTGTAATGTTCTCGTCCTTATATGGAAATAAACACTGTTCATATAAGGGTTTATTTTCTATATATCAAAGGCAAATTTTTATCTGTAGGAGGCCTCGCAGCAGATTACAAAGGTGTGCCGGTTGACTCGATACCTATGGCATACATTTGTACGCACATCATATCATTATATTAATAAATATGCAATGTTTTTCGATATCTGCAATTGGTGTGATATTCAAGGTCCCTATTCAACTCGACCAACTTCATCGTATCAAGGTTAATAATCAGTCAACTAATTTTATACAGATGATAAACATATTTTCCATATAAGTATAATTATTTTAAACTTATCATTATTATACAAGCGGCAGTACTTGGTGAAATAGAAACCTTTGTATATGTAGTTACATTATTTTAAAATTTATAAATGAGCCGCGTCATGACAAAACCAACATAGTGCGTTTGCGACCAGCATGGATCCAGACCAGCCTGCGCTTCTGTGCAGTCTGATCAGGATCCATGCTGTTCGCTTACCAACCCTATTACAAGTAGAGAAGCTGATAGCGAACATCATGGATCCTGATCAGACTGCGCGGATGCGCAGGCTGGTCTGGATCCATGCTGGTCGCAAACGCACTATGTTGGTTTTGTCGTGACGCGCGGCTCATACTAGTATAGGAACATTTTGTTACTTTTAAAGTAAATTGAATTATAATAGATTAGTTTTATACTGGCATGAAATAAAAGCTGTGATGGCGAAATAAATGTTGTTACTTGATAGTTAAATAAAACAAGATGAATGAAAAATATTAAAATACCTTAAAATCTTGTAATAAATTCCTGCGGTTTAATTTCGTTGATGCTGTAAACAAAATAGACCATATCAATAACACTTTCGTGCATATTATTTTCACTGGAATATATTCACGGCGAATATATACAAAAAAAGAAAGAAAAAAAAACACATTTGAAAGATAAAAACACTTAGATAATATTGTGCTCTAAGGTTATTTGTTACATTAAACGGAGTAAATTGTGTTAATAATTAAACCAAAATTCAGTTGTGGTATATAGTCTAAACATGAACATGATATTTTTAGCTCGTCTCTGAAGATATTTTATTCCCTGCGATCTGGAGACCGCAGGGTATTGGTACGCGTTTAACTTTTGAGGCATGGAGGAGCACGTGACCTGTTTTCGGTACATGGAGGAGCATGTGATCTGTAAACCGTACATGATTGGTTAATTAAAACCTGGCTAAATACCGTTTGTCGGTACGTTACGGATTTACCTCTAGGGAACTAGTAAGAGTGACACCTAATTAAGAACAAAAAATTATTACGTGTTATTTCTAATTTTCTATAATTATTTTACCGTTTAAGGTGGAAAAACTTGAATGATGTGTTTGAAAATTATCAATGTTTCTTTAATATGTATCTCAAATTTTACAAACAATAAATTGTTTATACTGAAAATCTACAAAATTAAAATATTCGTAGAGGCATCTGCCATAATAAATAGAGATATTTTCTGCGTAAACTTGTGTGTTTACTTTTTTTTTGCTCGGAATTATTCATAAAAAGGTAGGCCTATTTAATCATTTTCTTAAAAAGAAATAATTGTTTTATGTTCGACCTTCTCCGGTCATCAACGGTCACCAGTTTCCAAATACCTTCTTCTATATTGATCGATGATTGTCAACTATATTCCTGATACAAACGTTTATTTATTTCCCCCCAAACAATGTTGAAAATAGTTAAATGAAATATCTTTATATCATTAAAAATGTTCCCCGCAGGAAACCATTTTACTTGTTTCTTATTTGAACAACTTTCGCGTCCACTTCCTGGATCTAACCAGTACTAGTGACATATTAGGAGACAAGATCGTGACCTTTGTAGGGTCACCGCTACTCTCAGTTGTGATTTGACTGGTTCTTCTACAGAAATATCTTAACATTTAAATGACGAACAAGACAGTTAAAGAGGAAATGGCCTTTATGACAATGAATAAAAACCATTCTCGTGTGCCTTTGTTCAATACTCTACAGCCTAGCACTTTCACATTGAAATTATGTGATTAACATTACAATCAATAAAACTTAAAGTGCGGAAAAAACACAATCAAATAAACTGAACAAGATGATTAACAAGTCAATTGTAAATCCGGTTGCTCGAATTAAAAAAAAACTTTTTTTTTTCAAACTTACTGCTTTCACTCAACTGTCTATATTCCCTTTTCAGCTCGACTGAAATAAAACAAAAATGGCAAACATTTCATTCGTTATTTAAATGTTACTACTTTTAATATATATCCAATGTGTCTTATGTACTTAATTGCAATCAAGGAAAACAGCACGTCTAGGATTAATATCTATTATTATATCACTCTTTTTTATAGTAATTAAAGTTCATTTGCTAAATCAGAAGGTCTTGGAACTACATGCAACATTTTCTGTTTAAAATTATATAACATAATATTACAAGTACATTATCATTTAAATTCAATAACAAAAACATCAACATGCTACTGATCGAAGTAAATTTGATAATTTTTAGCATCAAAACGTTTTTTACATGTTTCTTGCAGATGGCAAAATTTGCCGTCAAGTTGGTTATGATGCCTTGACGATAAAATTGAATTTTCACAGTCATCTATAACTTATATACATATATTATATATTTCTTTATGTGCATTATGCGTATAAAAAATCTCGTATAAATGTATTATTGAAACATTGCATTTCTTTGTGTATTTTACGTATAATAGTTAAAGTAACACGATAATTATCAAAACATATGAAAACAAATATAAAAGCTATAAGTTGTTAAGTTTCAAATCATACACTGGTTTTGCTTGTATAAAAATTAAAGGATTAAATGAGTGCGTTCGAATGTTTATTTTACAACAAACATTTGTTTTATTATTTTAATTTCAACGGTTTGCATCATATGATCACTGTTGTTTATCGAAGTATCGAAAAAAAGACGTTTCAATATTTTATAGCTTCGATTAGTAAATGTACCACACAGATCACTCCATGCAGTGTCTTACAGAATAGAAGAATACTATTTGAAAGACCCTGGTGCATGGTAGAAACTTTTATTCATATTTTATAGTATAAAATTTATCTCGAACTTAATGGATGCTCTATAATAGATGCTGGCACTGTCTCTCCCGAGATTGCAAGTATTAATAATACATTAATTATTGTTACTATCATATATTTGAATGTAGAATCACTCAAATAATTTGTATATTGAATAATAAATGAATGATAACCATTAATCATAAAAGAAAATCGATACTTTCAATCACGTCACCTTGCTATGTAATTAGTAATTTACTTATGCATACATGCATACATGTAATTGTATATATTATGAAAGCTTGTTTATGACTCTTCAGAGTTAATTTGCATGACAAATTGTAATGGCTATAATCAAATTGTCTACTATACAAGACAGTGGTAACGCTTTAAGAAAAGGGAAGTGGTCGCCTAGTGGTCAGGGTGTCTGCCTCTCAACCCAGAGATCATGGGTTCGAGTCCTACTTGGGTCACGACCATGTTTCTTCATAATATTATGACACCAGTACTGGTTAATTGCAGGAAACAGATTCGAAAGTGATTAATATAAGTTTGCAAGAACTTGTTTAGTAATCGAGCTTAAGTCAATATATTTTTAGAACATTTTTTTTCTGTTAAACGTTTAGACGCTTTAACTAATTAAGCTTTCATCCTTTATCCTGAAACTAGTATTACGATTTGAGGTTATAACCCCCCATCCCCCCCCCCAGAAAAAAGAAGGGAAAGAAAACTGAAACAACAATTTTTCTAATACAAAACATTAAGAACTTGATAAAAAAATGATATTTACTTTAAAATATGCATTCGTTCTATTGAAAATATGACAAATCAGGGGTGATAATATGTCAAGACAGGAAACTGAGATAAGGGGAAGTCATTTCGATCAGAAAATGGCTCAAATAGCGTTAATAACATCAATGGTGATCAATTGTAATGGCATCAAAAATAACACGTTAACCTTTAATTCAATACATATTCTGATGAAGGGTCGGTATTATTTGGGGGTCGAAAATACCCTACTTTGCTTTAATTACTGGATATTTACTTAATTTTGTGAGTCAGACCTATGTGAGATTTTGATGTTTTTCGCAGCTCTTTCTTTTGAAACTATCAACATATTTCATGTCAAATTGTGAGTTTCTTCGGTTGGACAGGGAATTCAAGATTAAAGAAAATTATTTTACAAGACAGTTTTATTGGAATGTTGTTTTATTGCTGGTCTAGTATTTTTGTCTGAAATGTTCCTGGTAGATGTATGGCGGCTGAGTTGTGCCATTCGTGTTTCGCCCCGCGACCCCATTATTTCTCGACTTTTCACTTGGCGGGGTCGCGGGGCGAAAACAAGCTAATTAGCGGGGGCGTGGGGCTCCGCGTCCCCGCCGTTTTATTTCTTAAATCTCGCTCCGGGCCATTTCAACTTGTTAATTCTCGACTTTTCGCTTGGCGGGGTCGCGGGGCGAAAACTCGAATGGCACAAATCAGCCACCATATAGATGTGCATTTGCACTTGAAACTATTTAACAGATTGCGCCAGAATGAAATTAAGGATTTTTTTACTGTAGTGTATACACCACTAGGAAGTTTAAATTTTAAAACTTATGAGTTGACCTAGTTTAGATATTTTCGTAAGTAGATCTTAGAGTTAGAGAGTTGATCTTTAATCATATCAGTTGCGAAGCGGCATGTCATTTTATTTTGTATTTCATCATGTTAGGCTTATATTTTCAAATCTTAAATTTGATTTGTTTGTGAAATGTTGTAAAAATCTACATGGGTTTGTGATTTGTGTATAGAAGTTTTGATTCAGTTAGTAAAGTTTTTTTATACAGTAGTGGACAGTTGCAGGAATTTGAAAAGTCACGCAAATGAAAATCTATTTAAATACTTCTTGTGTAGAAAGAGAGAGAAAATGTTGAATGTAGATTAAATATTGTTAACTTCCTTTTGTTGTCGGAGTTAAATAATTGTATTGTTTGGGGAAAATGCTTGACATTGTTCTTAATGAACTTGAAATGAGCCGTGTCACGACAAAACCAACATAATGCGCAGGCTGGTCTGGATCCACGCTGGTCGCAAACCCATAATGTTGGTTTTGTCGTGACACGGCTCAAATGATGTTTCATTTTTCCGGGTTGATGTTGGATTTATTTATATATGAAGTTGAAAACAATTTAGCTTGAAATTAAGACTTGCGTTTTGGTAAACATTTTTAAGTACAAGAATCTCCCGACAATCTGTCAATGAATTTCGGTAAGTGACTTTTTTCGGAGCATAACGAATATTCTTACTAGTCATTTTGACATTTGCTTGAAAGAAAAGTAAAACAATCAAATGATTTGGCTTTTCATGCATAGGGTAACAATTGTAAAAACAACAATAAGTTGTATGACTTCAAATAAGTTATATGAGTTCGAAATAATGTTATATGACTGTAAAATAATGTTATATGACTGTATAATAATGTTATATGACTGTATAATAAAATTATATGACTTCAAAATAAAGTTATATGACTATAAAATAAAGCTATATAACTGTAAAATAAGGCTATATAACTGTAAAATAAAGTTTATAATAGAATTATGAAATAAACTTATATGGCTGTCCATTAAAGTTTATATGAATGTAAAATAAAGTTATATAACTATAAAAGAAAGTTGATCACTTACCGTTTAGTAGGAGAAAGATTATATTTAATATAACCAAAATAAGTACCACTCCCCAATATAACTGAAGCAATTTGCACCGTCGGTAAGGTATCATCTCATAAAAAAGTCTTTAAATTTTACTTCAGATAAGAAACAAGTTTTTAAACGCGAAGTATCCGCTAAATTCCATTTCAAAATGCATTATAACTATCCAGGCAGTTATTCTATTCGATATAAAAGCAGTAAAAGTTACAATGCAACAAACTGTAACGGTTTTCAAAGACTGTTATTTTTTGAGCTTAAAGTATGAATAAGAAATTCCTATTACTTATTTATACAATGTTTAAAATACTAAAATCAAACAGAATAAAATTGAAAAAAAAGATCAATATGAAGTGCTAATGTAAATTTGTTTTTATACTGCAGACTATAAAATAAAGGTTACAGGTTAAACTAACGGTTATTATGTAGGAAATCTATAATTGTATTGTGATTATATTATATCATAATTGAGCCGTGTCACGATAAAACCAACATAATGGGTTTGCGACCAGCATGGATCCAGACCAGCCTGCGCATCCGCGCAGTCTGATCAGATCCAAGTTGTTCGCTTACAAACTCTATAACCAGTATAGAAACCGATAGCGAACAACATGGATCCTGATCAGACTGCGCGGATGCGCAGGCTGGTCTGGATCCATGCTGGTCGCAAACCCATTATGTTGGTTTTGCCATGACACTGCTCATATGGGCATTGTTAATTACGTGTATCATGATACAGTATTTCTGTTCTGTTTGTCTCTTTTAAATCTCAACATTTTACGCACAAAAAAGCTAAACGAACAAAACAAGCGAAAAACAAAAACAACACCAACAAAACGACGCCTGCGAAGGAAACGATCAGCTCTGGACTGCAAACTTTGAAAAGCCCCGAAAAAATGCTAATTTACGAATGTATCTTTGTGAAAATTGAAATTAAAGGGGCAGCGTTCCGACACGTGAATTCCATTACATCCGTATATTATAGTGCTTGTTCAATGACAAAAGGAAAACTAACCAATAATAATTGTGCTAGGAATCAGACCGCACGTGTCTTATTTATAAATGGACATTGCCAACACACTCGTAATGGTTTATCGTAATACATAAATTATTTATATCCCGTTTGAACCATTATAATATAAAGTTTCAATAAACAAAGGATCAATCATAAAACCTTAGATTTGAGCATAAACATAGTTGACAACGCATAAAAGGCATCAGACCCGTTGACAAATATAACCAAAATAAAAAAAAGCACATATGTACCCTTGCTTCATAAAACGCGGCTATCAAAGTTTTGAAAGCCAGAACAATGTCCAAACAGCACTCAAAAAAAAAATACAAAACTTCAAAAAATATGCATGTACAGTGAATATATGCAGTTTTTCCCCACAGATTGGGGAAGCAAACCTGCCTTTAAGTTATACGGTATACATGTGTATTTACAAAGGAGGAAGAAAAAATATTTTTTAGGAATAACTGCTTGATTATAAAAAATTTTTCTTCCGGGAAGCCGCCCTTAAACGGCCAACGCTTTGGAAGGAAAGAGGATGGGTATTGAACTGCGTATGGATCTCAAATTTGAGTATCTGTAAAAGGAGCATATGTGACTTTAAGGTTAATGATGTGTTACATAATTGAAAGCGCTAAAACTCCATGTATGAAAACAAGTCATTCACAAAGTAAACTTTCAACTTTCAAAATTTTCTTCCCGTCATGGATTCTGGTGTGCTCAAAACATCCAATGAGTACGAAGAAACTGTTACAAATGTTACAAAAAACACCAAACAAACAAAAAACAAAGTACGGGCTCATAACAAACTGTTTACGAAATCTGACAACATATAAGGATTCTTAACGTTAACATTTCAACAAATCCATATTGAAACCTTTATTGAGATGTGGCTCCACACAAAGAAATGAATTCCATTAGAGCTCCATATATGCTTCAAAGATCTATACGAGCGTATAGGTGATATAAAATCATCAACATAAAATGGATCTCTTCCATAAAACATTCGATATCTAATTCTCTTGTGTATCGCTCTGTGATTAAAACTAAAATTCAAAACAAAATCATACACAAAATACATATCCTCAGGTCACGCCAGAATAAAACAATCATCATTAAAATTTCGTGAAGTTATTGATTATTGTTTGGTTGGAAGTACATACGCATTTAAATCACTTTGCAGTCAAGGCAGTAAACCGCTATGAATTCACCAGGAAAGTTGAGCCCCCACATCGTTCCATTAGCAAGCAACTCCCATTACTAAGTCTTCTATACATGCTAGTGCAGAGATACAGTGCGAAAGACCTAAGAAAGGATTTCATGTTCAAGCACAACGAAAATAAACTTGTACTGTCCAGGAATAGAACACAGGTCGCCTGGTTCAAAGTCCAACTCTCTTTATACGAGGCTACAGCTACACCACGTATCTATAGGCACTATGGAAGCTTGTATATCGTGACTTATGCATTTGTAACGTCGAATAGACCTTTGGAATGAGAGTAATATTTAGCGAAATAGGTATGTCATTCTTTATTCCTTATATGTTGTTTTCCCATGATCAGATGGTTCTAATTTTGTTTGTTTGTTTGTTTCATTTTACGCCTTTTCCCAACAGTATTTCAGTCATATAGGCGGGTAGTTTCCTAACCATCGTTCCTGGAGAGTTACACCAGTACTAGACTACCTTCCTCCGCGCTAAACTACCAAAGCATCTCCCGGGGATCGAACCCACGCCAGAGAGGTAACTGGATTAGAAGTCATCGACTCTAACCCCTCGACCACGGAGGCGGTCACAAACATGATCTCTTTATCAAACACGTATTAATTTGACTTTCTATATCAAACACTGAAAAATTTGACTCATTGGTCCCAAAACAGTAGTGATTTCAGTACGCTCGAAGAAATATAGAGTAATTTTCTTAAAATTATGTCAGAACTGACAACCAACGAACTGCAAAAATAAAGCAAAAACAAAAAGACAGATGTTCTCCGACGGACAGAAGGACATACAGACAAACTGATATTGCAAGATGAACAGAAAAGCTCATTACATGTACTCAGTATATCTTTTGGTCATGCGTTTGTTTATGGATTGAAACTACTATCATCGTCAAAAATTTATCTAGTATCAGATTATTGAGGATCTCTTTTCGACAAAAAAGCAATCATTACTTCGAATACAGTTCCTTATCAAAAATTTATATGGGATAATTGTTTGGTGAAAAGCGTCCATTAAGGATCCCTGATGTGTTAGCTATTCTGGGTAACAACTATAAATAGTGCACTCCTGGGTGTTCTATTCAAAAGGATCTCTATAGGGCGTGACCGTGTCCCACCCTCTATATCCCAGACAGCCTGTGTTATGATATAGTCAAGTGAACCGTGCTACGGTCACGATTATATAGATATATACATGTACTTTTATTTTTTCCTCAATTAAGCGAACTTCCATTAGTGTACGTTAGTGGAAACAATGCATGAAAAGTGCGGTATTTGAGATTATGGAACAGTGTGTTATAATAAAATCGTGCGGTAAACAAATTAAAGTGAATTTTTTAGTTACGGCATCGCTGTATGTGCTGCGGAGTTGTCCCCCTTGTTAATTAAAACTTCTGTAATTCTACTATAAAATGTCTATGTACATATGTTTATTGTTAATGTAAATCACATGTAACTAAGACTATAATAAAGAATGCACACTATAATATTACTAGGATTTTTTATTCAAATTTTCGCGCATTGATGTTATCAATTATATAATAATTCAGGGACTAACATATTTTTCGCACACTACTTAAATTTCATTGTAGTGATAACATTTTGAAGTCGTCGGCAAGACGAACTGTATATAACTGACTGCTTCTATCGTTACTTAAATTTCGAAGAATTGTCACTTTAAACATCCTATATCTACGTGGAAAGCGCTGACCGGTGAAATTAAAAATATGTTAATGTAACAAAGCTTCCAGAAACAATTCACGTAACGCAGAAAACGTCAGCTTTTATATGATTAAATGACTTTCACTCCGGATCACGGCAGTAAGTCACATTGACGTTACCAGAGCATAGTTCAGTCAATCGAACTCGGGTCGCCCGATTCACAATTCAACGCTCTAACTGCAAAACTGATTGGAAATTTTGTTACTTATATAAAGTCGACATGGTCAGCAGTTCGTCAGGGTCAGTTTTAAAGTTATATAGCATTGTTTAAAACAAATAATCGGGACACTACATGTATGTCTCTTCCGATGTTTATACGTTGTCACCCCTGTACGGAATTAGACCCAGCTAGCCCGTTGTAATCTAGAAAGAAGTTCTTTTAAATTTTGAATTGGCCTATTTCAAGCCATCACAATTGATACTGGTTATATTTCATGTATAATTTTAGTAATTGTGTACTGAGTACTTTAAACGTTGTTTTTTTATGTTTTTTTTGTAGGATTTCATTTCTGGATGGAAGGTTTCAGGAAGTACTATAGACAAGAAAACACATCAGTTGCTATTTGGAATATTCTATAGTGATTGCAGAAATTAAAAGCTGCAGAAAATTCCAAGGGCTAATGTATTATTTTTTGTGCTAAATTTACTTGGACTGCATTGGTGGTTAAAGCAATGGCCATGAAGTTCCGGTACCGTATATGCTTTGTCCAGAATAAAGCCTTAAATGTGATGGAATTACTATAGGATATATATAGTACGAAAATTCAGTGGGCCGTCTCCATACATGTAGTACGACTGTTGTCGACAACTTAAACTGTTGTCCCGTTCGTCCCGTTCGTCCATTATCACGTGTTAACAATGGTCATGTTAGAATAACGGGTAACCGATGGCGACTATAAATAAACTACGTCTATAAATGGAATCAATCAACTATTTACTGACCCAGTCGAGTGTTATCGATTATTGAACAGCTTATAGACGGGGTATGTACTTAAATCGTACGGTATTGTAATTGTAATAGCGGTATCGATTTTGAAGGATTAACAGATTTTTCTTTCAAATTTGTACATATTTAACGTTAAAACAGGATAGAAACTAAAAATGGATATAAAAATACAGGTATGTTTAAAATTATTTTGATTTTTTGAAAAAAGAATATCAGATATTCAAAATTACAATTCTTTGTTTATCTGTTACAGCCTACGTATGATCAATCCAAAAATCTCGGTTTTTTGTTCCACAAGTCGCGTCAAGTAAATTCATTTACTAGTGGGCTATATTAGGCAATTATATAGCAAACACAAGATACGGAGATTTCAAAACCCCAAAAAGGGTAAAAGAAAACTTAATTAAGCTATGAAATTTCGACGAATGGGGCCATAAATAAAATAAAAACTGTTTATGCACGGGCAACGGGCCCGTATAATTTAAAAGGGGGAAAAACTGGGGGAATAGAGTCTGCCCACGGAACGAGTGTCCGGCACGACCGTATCGTCTAATCATGGTATACACTGTTTGCTAACAGTTAAATACTAATGGTTTCTTCAGTTCATGTGTGATTTTTGTTCTTTGATCAATTCAGGAGTGATTATTAACTTGAATAAGTAGAGGATATTCAATATTCTTTTATATGAATACAGGACTTATTTCATTGAGGTATGAAAATAAACATTTTATGAGTGACGGTAGCCACGAGTGAAATCTGATAATTTCATAAAAATATATTTTACAGTGAAAATAGGAAGTGAAACTTATTTCATCAATATTCCTAGTTCAGTATTCATATACATAGTATATAGAGTATATATAGTTAAGAACAATATTATATCGCATGATGTCTTATGTTTAATTGTAACAAAGAAACGAACATTTTACTCTTTTTGCTCTATTCAATCATGTGCTAAAATCACTTTACATAAATAACCATTTCACATAGACCAGATTTATCTTGACTTTACCTAAAATATTGTAAAAATGAATAGTAATTGTAACAATTATTCAGTGTAAGATTCTTTACATCATATGTTACCACATATTGTTTGATGGAACGACATCGGTCGTGTTGCTTTTCATACGATTTCAGTGCTAGATCTGTGAGATATTTATTGTATCATTCATTATTAGTGTTACTTCTAACATAACTATAAAATCAGCATAAATTGACATTAAAATATATTTGATTTTCACATCTGACACAAATATTTGTAGTTTATTATAATTTTGCTTGAAGCTGCAATCATATTTCTTCATGTATATAGTAATTATGATAAAGTAAACAGTGTTCACCGAACCGAGCCACTCTAATCAATCGTCGGGCCTCTCCGTCAAACTTCGGATAAGAAGAGCCGATTGTCTATTGCCTTGAGTTGCGATTGACGGAAAGAGCCGAGAAGTTACGATTTCCCTTTTCTTTACTGAATATCAATATCCGTAGTTTGACGGAAAGGGCCGAGAAGTTGCGATCTGGCTTTTCCCAAATTGTCACGGCATGATTTTGTGTCAATACATGTACCGTGGCCTTCATAAAAACCTATTATATCATACTTCAACCTTGACATAATGAAGTTGTTGACATGTTGTGACACTGTTATCTGTTTAGACTCCCAAACTCAAATCTTACTTTCAGCTAAACTTATAAGACTCTAAAATAACGCCTTGTATTACATAATGACGACACGACATAAGATCATATGTCAACATTTATTTTAAGACTTTTGAGTTGATAATGATTACTGATAATGTAAAAATAAAAAAGATGTTATAATAAAATTTCACAGTGAAAATTATAAAACTATTACTTCACAACAACAAAAAAATAATAATAAAATAAGATAAAGTACAGCAGACAACAACAACCTCCACCCACCCCTCTCACCCGACCCCCCCCCCCCCCCAAAAAAAAAAAAAATGGAAAAAAAATAACCACAAAAACAGTAACAACAACAAAAACAACCCAACATGGAATAGTTTTTCATAAAACGACACAACGTTGGACTCAGATCTATGATATTTTAAAGGGATATATATACTGATCAGTGCCGGTGACATTATATTGGGACTTCCAGAATGCTTATTGAAGATACTAGCGACACAATATTATATAATTGAACAACAAGTAGCGAGTATTTGTGGGTGTGACTAATCAGTGATGTAAAACTGTCTGTTATAAACCCTGAACTATAAATAGCATGCAGTGTTAACCTGCAGAGAGAATGTAAACAAAAACAGCTGATTTTACACAGGAGAGGTTTAATGGATGTTTTATATAACTCAAAGATTAATTAAAGATCTTGTCCAGATATTATTTTTGAAGTCAGTTGTTTTTGTTTTTTTTCACTGGAATGCTGTATGTGTCCTTCATCAAGTCAGACAATTATATCAAAATCCAAAATATGTGCCTTACATGGGGCATTTCTTTTAGGAACAACCTGCTAAAAATGTTCTTGACAGGAATTTAAAATATTTTTAAACCGTTAATGTATAAAAATTTTATGCATATGCAACATTTAGTTTGATTAACATTTGTGAAATGTAATTTTTGACTACAAGATATGTACAACAAAATATAGTGTAAATGAAATATACCTGGAAGTTACTTTTACTGTTTTCATGAAGTTTAAACCATTCAAATATAAGTTAAATCAGTACTTTGAAATTTTAAAAAAAAAATCATAGCTTAGTGGATTATTGTAAATTTGTTGGATTTGATAAAGCAAGTCAGTAAAAGTTATTGTTTTTTTCAGCATTCCAATGTGTCCTCTGCTGAAAATCTCCCTCCCTGAAATATATATCGTCTGCTACAAATCTCTCTCCCTGAAATAAACACTGCAACGTGCTTCTGTTTACTACTGAAGGTTCATGACCTGTACTGATCACATGGCTCCTCCCAGGCAAATTCAAATTTCAAATTTGACAGCCAGTATTTTTTTCCAGAAATACACTTAACAAAGTTATATTTTGAATAATTTTGGTCAATCTTTATCAAAAATATCTATGCCTACAAACATGCCAAGTGTTGTTTTAATGCATTTGGTAATTAATCTTTAATCTTTGAAAAAGGGTCCCTGAAGTGAAGCATGCATAAAATTAATAAGAAACCTGCCCTAGCGCCATCTGCTGGCTTTTATAGTCCAGTTGGGCCTTTAAGCATACATATGCAGCGTTTGTAAAAGTAAAATTTGGCAATTATTATAAGAGATATCTTCCCAACATTTTAATGCGAAATAATATGTATTCAGAATAAATTATGTTTATAGAAACGATAGACTCTTTTTGGTAATAAAATATCTCCATTTATTACATTTCAGTAAATATGATAACAACTTGAGACCTAAACAACTGCATATCTGGTAACTCCGATAACCGACTCTCTGCGTAGACACACCCATACAGTGTTACATCGGTCACGTGATCACTACGTGATCTCATTCAACCACCGAATCTCACGAAGCAAGACCAAGAAAGATGGGAATTGTAGACTCTTTCAGTCGTCTTCGATCTTTTCTCATTTACTGGTACTTCCAGTACGAACTAAATACCGCATTGTACATGCTCGAACCTGCAGAGAAGACTATAGTCAGTATCCTTTTTATTTGCCGCTTGAATCGGGTGACCCGGGTTTGATTCCCGGACGGCACATATCATTTTAGTTGTAATTAATCTACGGTAATTCGCACTGTACCTCTGCTCCGGCATGTTCAGAAGTTATCAGTTCCTTCCAAAAGTCAAGTCTCTAGTACGGGTGAACTGCGTGACAGCCTGCCCTGAAACGATGCGGTTGCTGAACTATGGTCTGTTGAATTCAAAGTGACTAACTGCCGTGGTCCGGACGGTAAACTACCCAGACCTTCAGCAGTTTACCCTGTATAGTATAATATATATCAATCCATGATCAATCGCTCGATCGAATGATTAATCCATGCGTCAGTTGGTTGTGTCCCGTCGTTCGTCGGTCGGTCCATCCGTTCGTCAGTCAGTCGATTAAAGCGGACACGATAGTATGCATTGTTAATTGTAAGGAATGAATGTTTACAGTTTGTGCTATTAAACGTTTTTAAGGTACTGTAAATATAAATGCTGATTTATAAAGTCACTTTATCTTTTATTGTCAACTGTATTAGATACACCAATATTATAGTCATTGGCAAATCTTAATTTTCTTAATCTTTATTTCACATAGTTTAAAACGTAATCAATGGAGTTCTAGCGTTTGCACTGTGTGACCTCTTGAAATAAAACATTTTCATTTTTCTAGTCCACTTTTCTTTATCACCTACATTTATTGAAACCCGTCTAATATTGCTTTCACCACAGTAAAATATAACAAAATGGTGGAGTGAAATAAATTTAATAAATTAAATTTCTAATGAAAACTCGATTTTGACCTTGACCTAAACTTCAGATACGATAGCTGTTGCCATTGTTGGGCTAATTTTGTTTGCTGCTTTGACCTATTTACCAGGTCACCTGATCATGATGATCCACTTTCTACAGGGAACACATGAAAGCACGAGTTCCTGATATTCTACATGTAGGGGGATATGGCAGTGTACTCAATATAGAAATCATGTACGTGAAATTGTGAAAAAACGTGAACTATGAATTCGAACATTGGTTTAAAAATATGACCATGATGGCTGGTGAAAAAATGAACAAAATTCATGTTATTAACATATGACAAATGTTTGTAATTAATTTATATGTTTGCTCTGACTTTCTGTGTCATTCAACCATATATGTGATAATCCTTCCAAAAAAGTTAATTCAACAAAAGTTCGTAACAAAAATCGGCAACATGTATTGAACCGATCAGATCAGGTGGTATATAAAATATTAAAATGCCACCACTTTCCGATCAGATACGGAAAGTAACGAAGATTGTCGATTTTTTACGAGTTTTGTCGGATTACATTATAATGTACGTTGTTAACCAGCAAGTTATGTTGTCATTCATGTGATAAATATGTTTGCATATCTAAGTCTTTGAATTGTGTTGAGCTTAAATGCTTCCATTAATAAATTGAGAACATTTGTTTAATTTTCGTTAAGCGTTTGTAATTTAAGAGAGCTCGCATCTTTTCACTTATTTAGGATTTACATGTACTTATTTTTTTCATGATAACTGACACATTTCGTTATGCAGGTACATGTACTTTCATCTGGCTATTGTTTAATTTATTATTATCATATTAATATGATTTATTTTCTATGTACATAAACATTTTTCATTTAACACATTATAATACCGTCTCACACAGTCAGCAAATATAATTATGTAATTCATTTTGCATTGAAAATTTCGTCATTAAAATGACATTATATATTGAATGGCTTGTTCGTTATTATTTTGAACCACTGTATTACTTTTAAGGCACATTATCAATGAGAAACGAATAATGTTTTACTTCATTAGAAAAGGCACAAATGAAAAGCATAACGTTTAAATAAATAATGGTTTCAGAA